ACCCTCTCCTGCGTCCGCACAGAGCCCCCTCTTGCGTCCGCACAGAGCCCCCTCCTGCGTCCGCACAGAGCCCCTGCTGCGTCCGCACAGTGGCCCCCTCCTGCTTCCGCACAGAGCCCCCTCCTGCGTCCGCACAGAGCCCTCTCCTTGTGTCCGCACAGCGCCCCCTCCTGCATCGCACAGCGCCCCTCCTCCTGCATCCGCACAGAGCCCCCTCCTGCATCCGCACAGAGCCCCCTCCTGCGTCCGCACAGCGCCCCCTCCTGCGTCCGCACAGAGCCCTCTCCTGCATCCGCACAGAGCCCCCTCCTGCGTCCGCACAGCGCCCCCTCCTGCTTCCGCGCAGTGCCCCTTCCTGCGTCCCGCACAGCGCCCCCTCCTGCGTCCGCACAGCACCCCCTCCTGCGTCCGCACAGAGCCCATTCCTGCGTCCGCACAGAGCCCTCTCCTGCGTCCCCTCCTGTGTCCGCACAGCGCCCCCTCTTGTGTCCGCAAAGAGCCCCCTCCTATGTCCGCACAGCGCCCCTTCTTGTGTCCGCAAAGAGCCCCCTCCTATGTCCGCACAGCGTCCCCTCCTGTGTCCGCACAGAGCCCCTTCTTGTGTCCGCACAGAGCCCCCTCCTGTGTCCGCACAGCGCCCCCTCCTGTGTCCGCACAGCGCCCACTCCTGTGTCGCACAGAGCCCCCTCCTGTGTCCGCACAGCGCCCCCTCCTGTGTCCCACACAGAGCCCCCTCCTGTGTCCGCACAGCGCCCACTCTGTGTCCGCACAGCGCCCCCTCCTGTGTCAGTACAGGCAGAGCGACATATGATTGCATAGCTCTATACGCCCGCCCGCCTGCAGAAAGGTGTGAGTGATCGGCAAGTGGTTAAAGTAGAACTCCGGGCTTTATTATTCAGGATTTATAGAGCACCAACAGTTTGCATGGCGCTTTACAACATGAAGGCAGACAATACAGTTACTATGTAATTCAGCAGGAATCGGAGAGCCCTGATCCTTAGAGCTTACAATCCAACAGGGAGGGTCAAGAGATAAAAAAAAAAGGTGAGCTGATGTAGAAAGTAGAAATACAGTTCAGGTCAGGTGGGGGGGGGGGGGGGGGGGGGGGGGGGGCATCTCTGCAAAGAATGATTTTCAGGGATTGTCTAAGTTCCCGTTCACATGTATGCGGTGCGCGGTTGGAGGCGGTTTGAACTGTGAAGTAACATTGCTTCCCATGGTGCCTGTTCACGTATGTACGGTCCGGTGCACCGGCAGTGAGGTTTGAAAAAGAGTCCTGTATGATTTCTGAGCAGTGCCTTCAGGTTCAGGAGCGGATTACAGGATATTGACGTCTTTGGGAACCGATTGTAAACCACACGTGTGTGAACAGGATAAAATCCGGGCCTAAGCCTGTCCTGAACCTGATGTAAACCTGACATGAACCGCTGAACAACTGCTGTGTCCATTCGCTGTGAGACCCAGGGGCGGACTGACCATTTGGAAACTCAGGCACTGCCCAAGGGCCCGGGGTCAGTAGGGGGCCCCATGAGATGCCCCTGGTACCTTTTTCATAGGCTTTTTTGAGTTTGGGCAAGGACACAGGGGCCCCCCATGATCCCCTATTGCCCGGGGGCCCCATGAGTTGTCAGTCCGCCCCGGTGAGACCTGAGCTTCAGTCCGCACCGCACATGTGTGAATCAGCTCTCAAGGTGGACAGAATAGGTGATTGTTGAACATATTGAAGTAGGGAGTTCCAGAGGATGGGAGAGGCTTGGGAGAAGTCCTGGAGGTGAGCATGGGAGGAGCTAGAGAGCAGGAGGTCTTGGGAGGACCGAAGAGAGTGATTTTGTTGATATTTTGAGACCAGGTTGGTGATGTAGCTGGGGGCCCATTTGTGGATGGCTTTGTAGAGCAGCAAAGTACTCATTTCCCCCGGGGCCCCTCCCCTGGCCCTCAATATTATAATTTATGTTGCTAAACACTTTTTTTTTTTAACAGAATGCCATGTAGTGGTCATGTGACATCCTCCTCCATTCTTCTCCTTCCTGAGAGCAGCAGTGACTCAGGGACTACAAGTCCCAGAAGTCTGCACAGTTCAAGCCACTGTGGGCGTGGCCACTGTTCTGTTTTGAGAAATCAGTTAGGCTGGGGTCACACCAATAGAGCGCGGCCAGTTCTGCGCGTTTTCCGCTCGCGTCACGTATACAACAGTTCGTTTTCAATGGGCTGCTCTACCCGTGAGAAACGCGAGGAAAGAAGTCCCCGACACACACTGAGCCACATGGCGCCCCCCTGCATCTGCAGAAGAGCAGCGCATTTCTGTGCGTGTTGGGAAAGTGCGTGATTTTGTGCCCATTCCCCACATGCAGAGGTGTGATCCCAGCCAATAGAGCAACCGGCTCAGGGCGGCAACAACATTACGTCACCCCAGTAGTACGGAGAACTGGAGGGGAGGGGGGCATTAAAAGTACAGATGACCATTGCTGAGGCTAAGTTTGGCGCAGTAGGAAGTTCTGACAAAGCTATTGTCAGAGGAGCGCGCAATGGACATGTGCAGAACGAAACAAATGTGTTTTGTTTCGATTCGTTACATTCGTCATTCCGGTGCAATGATGTACATTGTTGCAATACTATGAACTGTCATGAATGGGTTAAGTTCATGACAGTTCACAATACTAGTGATCTGTGATTTGCTACAGCTAATCACATGGTACAGGGTGCTGTGATTGGCCCAGGTACCATGGGAGCCAATCACATTCTTTGTTTCAGCTTCGATTTCGCTTCGTTTCTTCAAATTCGAATTCGAAAATAATTCTAACGGATTTGAAAATATTTCTAACATTACAATCCATAATCCACAATCCATATGTGTTTTTGATGGTATACGAGCTGTATGAAGAGTTGTGTGACCATTCTGGAAATTTCGATTTTTTTTTTCAGGAAAATTTTCACAGTGTCTTTGTCGATCACTACTCACGTCACCATAGCGCATCTCACAATTTTTATTGTTTTGTAAAGTATTTTAGTCTTTTCTATTCTATTCTTTTCTATTATTGTATATTCTAATGTATTCTGTTCGAATTCTAATTCATTCTTCTCAAATTTTGGAAGACAGTTATATTCTTTCTATATTAATCTATTGTATTGTTTTCTGTTCTGTTCTATTCTATTTTATTCTTTAATTTTCTATTCTAAGCTTTTCTATTCTATGCATTGAGTTTCTATTCTATTCTAATATTTTCTATTCTATTTTAATTGACTCTATTCTGTTCTAATCTTTTCTATTTTATTCTATTCTAGTTGATTATATTATAATCCTTTCTTTTCTAATTCCAATTCTCTTTTCTTTTGTCTTCTTTGATTTTCTATTCTAATTTTTTTCTATTCTATTATAATTGATTATATTCTTTTCTATTCTATTCTTTGATTTTCTATTCTATTTTTTTTATTCTATGCTTTGATTTTTCTATTCTGTTCTCTAATGGATTATATTCTTTCCTATTCATTCATTGATTTTCTATTCTATTTTGTTCTGTTTTACTCTATTCTTTTCTACTGTATTCTTTTCTATTATTTTATTTTCTTTTATATTCTATTCTAATAGATTCTATTCTTTTCTGTTCATTGATTTTCTATTCTATTTTGTTCTGTTTTACTCTATTCTTTTCTATTGTTTTATTTTATATTCTTTTATTTTCTTGTATATTCTATTCTAATTTATTATATTCCTTTATTTTCTATTCTATTTTGTTTTTTGTTTTACTCTATTTCTTTGATTTTCTATTCTATTCTAATTTTTCTATTTTTATGTAATAGATTCTATTCTATTCTAATTTTTTTATTTTTTAATTGATTATATTCTTTTCTATTCTTTGATTTGTAATTCTGTTCTTTTCTATTCTATTCTGTTCTTTGATTTTCTATTCTTATGGATTATATTATTTTCTATTCTATTCCTTTATTTTCTATTCTATTTTGTTCTGTTTTACTCTATTCTTTGATTTTTTATTCTATTCTAATCTTTTCTATTTTTATGTAATATATTCTATTCTATTCTTTTTTTTTTTTTTATTTTAATTAATTATATTCTTTCCTATTCTTTGATTTTTAATTCTGTTATTTTCTATTCTATTCTGTTCTTTTGATTTTCTATTCTAATGGATTTTATTATTTTCTTATTCTATTCCTTTATTTTCTATTCTATTTTGTTCTGTTTTACTCTATTATTTTCTACTGTATTCTGTTATATTCTTTTATTTTCTATTCTGTTCTTTTTTCCTCTATTCTCTTCTGTTCTTTTATTTTCTATTCTATTCTATTTCTTTTTTATTCCTTTATTTTCTGTTCTATTTTGTTCTGTTATGGTTTTCAAATTCTAATCTGTTTTTTAATTTGTTTTTGAATTTGAATTTGTTTTCAAATGTGTTTTCAAATTCAAATCGCTTCGATTTTCGGCCACATTTTGTTTTTCGGTGTTTCGGATTAGTTTAAATTTGTTACTATTGTAATTCGGAGTTCGAATAATCAGAATCTCCAAATAACGGAAAATTCATCCAAATTTTGATTATGAACGAAATTAACTGTGCATGTTTAGTGTGCACAAAGACGCCTTGCGTGCAAAACATGCACAGGGACTGAAGTCAGGACCCCCTCTGCAGTTAAGCAAAAAAAAAAATCCAAAACTGAGTTCTGCTTTAAAAAAAAAAAAAAAAAAAGATTCTGGGTCTTTCGGTTGTCACCTTGTTAATGGGCCCCCTGAGGATGCCAGCCGGGATGTTGTATTACAGAAGAGCCACCAGCAGAGGTCTTTCCTGGGACACTCACCCATCTATTTATATCCACAGCCGTGTCAGGTTTTCCAGCGACTTCTAAAGAGGGGACAGCAGACGAGAGCCCCCTTCCACCCCCTCCACCCGAGGCGTGTCACTGCCACCGCCATATCGTCCCAGGCTGGGGGTCACCAGCAGCGTGAGGCCCTGACTGAGCCTGTCTGGGGTGCCGGCTTCACCATCATCACCATGAGCAACATCTCCTATCATATCTCCAGCCTCCTGGAGAAAATGACGTCCAGCGACAAGGACTTCAGGTGAGACAAAGTGACGTGGGTCGGCGTGGGGGGCCGACGTGGACCAGCTTGAGGGCTGGTGTGAGGGGCTGATATGTGGACAAACAAGGGGGCTGGCATGGGGGGATCTGACATGTGGACCAGTGTGGGGTCCATATGTCAGAGGAGCGTGGGGGGCAGACGTGTGGGTGTGGGAGGGCCGACATGTGGACCAGCGTGGGGGGAGTCGACATGTGGAGCAGCGTGGGGACTGGTATGGGGGAGGCCAGCATGTGAATCAGCATGGGGAATGGTGTGAGGGGGCCGACATGTGGGCCAGCGTGGGGGGGGGGAGCCAACATGTGGACCAGCGTGGTGGGAGTCGACATGTGGAGCAGCAAGGGGACCGGCATGGGGGAGGCTGGCATGTGGACCAGCATGGAGACTGGTGTGGGGGGGGCCAACATGTGGACCAGCATGGGGGGAGTCAACAAATGGAGTCAACATGTGGAGTAGCGTGGGGACCGGCATGGGGGCCAACAGGTGGAGCAGCATGGGGGCCAACGTGGGGGGGGTCAACATGTGGAGCAGCGTGGGGACTAGTGTGGGGAGGCCGACATGTGGACCAGCATGGGGATCTGTGTGGGGGGCCGACATGTGGACCAGCGTGGGGACCGGCATGGGGGCCAACAGGTGGAGCAGCATGGGGGCTGGCGTGGGGGGGTCAGCAACATGGGGACCGGCATGGGGGAGGCTGGCATGTAGACCAGCGTGGGGACTGGTGTGGGGGGCCAGCATGTAGACCAGCGTGGGGATCGGTGTGGGGGGCCGACATGTGGAGCGGTGTGGGGGGGCCGACATGTGGAGCAGCGTGGGGATCGGTGTGGGGGGGGCCGACATGTGGAGCAGCGTGGGGATCGGTGTGGGGGGCCGACATGTGGGGATCGGTGTGGGGGGCCGACATGTGGAGCAGCGTGGGGATCGGTGTGGGGGGGGGGACAACCGCATGTGGAGCAGCGTGGGGATCGGTGTGGGGGGCCGACATGTGGAGCAGCGTGGGGATCGGTGTGGGGGGCCGACATGTGGAGCAGCGTGGGGATCGGTGTGGGGGGCCGACATGTGGAGCAGCGTGGGGATCGGTGTGGGGGGCCGACATGTGGAGCAGCGTGGGGATCGGTGTGGGGGGGCCGACATGTGGAGCAGCGTGGGGATCGGTGTGGGGGGCCGACATGTGGAGCAGCGTGGGGATCGGTGTGGGGGGCCGACATGTGGAGCAGCGTGGGGATCGGTGTGGGGGGCCGACATGTGGAGCAGCGTGGGGATCGGTGTGGGGGGCCGACATGTGGACCAGCGTGGGGATCGGTGTGGGGGGCCGACATGTGGAGCAGCGTGAGGATCGGTGTGGGGGGGCCGACATGTGGAGCAGCGTGGGGATCGGTGTGGGGGGCCGACATGTGGAGCAGCGTGGGGATCGGTGTGGGGGGCCGACATGTGGAGCAGCATGGGGGGGCAACATTGCTTGCATTCTATTGCAAACAATGCAAATTCACTTTTCTGGCTTCGAAGGAAAGTTGCAGAATGGTTGAGTTTGTTTGTTTGTTTGTTTGTTTGTTTGTTTGTTTGTTTGTTTGTTTGTTTGTTTGTTTGTTATGGGGAACCATGTGTGACAGTTGCCCAATTAAAAGCCTTAAAGATTCTATCAGATTTTTTTTACTATCTGTCCAGATTTCAGTTCTTTCAGTCATGGAGTCTCAGTATCACATGTAGGTGTTTCCTATCTATGCAAATACAGCCTGCCTAGGAACACCCACTGCTCCAGACTGACATTCGTCATTTTTCATATCTGCCATAACTCCTCCCAAAAGCCAGTCCACTGCCTGCATCAGAGCTGAGGGCAGCATCCTGCTGGCCCCTCTCACCAGCCATGATCTGCCCACATTGCATAGAGAAGCATGGAGACCCAGTGATGATATCAATGTGTCTAAAATAAGGTAGGTAGTGAAAACAGATTTTTTTAAAATGTCATTAGCATTAAAAGAAAGCGTCCTAAATACTAGAAAAGCATTCAAGTTTTATTCTACATTAGCCAGACGGAGCTGTGGCCAAACGTAACTTTAAACCTGAACCCCAGACATGAAAACTATCATCTAAATATATTCCTTAATAGTCTCAAAGGATGTAAATATACCTTGTGTGCACCAATTGCCTTTGCAAACCCAGATATTTCCTTGTAAAAATAGCAGGAGCAGGCGGAGACAAGACCAGTCACCCTGCAGAGCTGTGGGAGGGGCTCAGCGGCTCCACCTACTACAGCCTGCAGAAAACTACAGGAGGGGCGGAGACAAGTCAACCTCCACAAGGAGTGAGAGCAGAGCTGTGGGAGGGGCTCAGAAGCTCCACCCAGTGCAGAGAACTACAGGAGAGGGCGGAGACAAGATCAGTCATCCTGCAGAGCTGTGGGAGGGGCTCAGTGGCTCCACCTACTACAGCCTGCAGAAAACTACAGGAGGGGCGGAGACAAGTCAACCTCCACAAGGAGAGAGAGCAGAGCTGTGGGAGGGGCTCAGCAGCTCCACCCAGTGCAGGCTGCCTGCAGAGAACTACAGGAGGGGGCGGAGACAAGACCAGTCATCCTGCACAAGGAGAAAGAACAGCAGTGAGCGGTCTTTATTCCAGGAGGTCTCACGCTGGATGACTGACCAGATCTAGAAGAAATACACAAAGCTCACTGAGATTCAAGGAAGAATACACAGGATGAATTGTTTTGAATCCAATTGAATAATGTGTGAATCTTGCGTGAAAACATCGATCAATAGACCTCTAAGGCTCCTACACTCTAAGAGCGTTATTGGCATTCGTGATATTCCATGTTGTGGTGTCTCTATAATTACTCGCAGCTGCTGTTCCCGGACTGTTGGATGATTTCCCATTGAAGATCTGTTGGGATACAATTTTATAAGCTGCATGAGCTGCTTTAACCGATTTTTCATTTAAAGTCCGCGGAGGTGCGAAACAACGAAAACCCGTAAGTCAACAAAAATCGTGCAAAACACCAACACAAAAAAGTGCACTTAGAGGTGTGCTTTAGTCCACCCCCCCCGAAGGGCTAAGAAGGACCTCTACCCTGATCCCCCGGGGTTGCAAGGCTTTTGACAGGGACTGAGGTTTCCACATGGTCCACCTAGCCAAAAGACCTGATGGACCCCTTTCCTTGTGGCTAGCTGAAGCCAACCACCAAGTACTAGGTCAGGGGGCTCTCCAGAAGAGTGACCACCCCCCCACGAGGAAGGAACCAAAAGGCCACACATCCTCCCTAGACTACAGGGCAGGCCCGAGGACCCACACCCTACCGTCCGTGAGAAAAACACACACATAAGTGGAAGGTGACAAAACGTGGGAGGAAAATAAATAAATAAAAAGTGGCCGTGCAATAGTGCACTGGCTAGGCCCTGAGGCATGTAGCAGTTCTTTGCCCTGGAGGTGCAGTGCAGGAGCACACTTGGGATCCCACCCCCATGTGCTACTAAGAGCACCTCTGAGGCGACCACTCGGGGGGCACTGCTCCACGGACTTTCTGCCTCCCCGGCCCTTGCCCAGACAAGGTAGATCCATTCAAATCAGGAGGAACTGGACCCCGGGGGAATTACTCCCAGGCCTCACGGTTTCACTTACTTATTACAGAAAAAGGCATGGCAATGGGGAAAGATCAGCTTTAAGTAGGTGTAAGTAAGTAAGTTTACTTACTTTACGATGCTCTGCCGTCGTTCTTGCTTCTTGGCGAGGATGCTTGGCTGTATAGTACCCCTGCTGGTATGATGGGGGGGCGGGCTCTGAAGGCTAGGCCTGGGAGCAATTCCCCTGGGGTCCAGTTCCTCCTGATTTGAATGGATCTACCTTGTCAGGGCTCTGAGGAAGAGGTTGTGTCCTCGAAACGCGTTAGCCAGTTGGTCATCCAGGGTTCCATCGTATGGACTCAGATGTTGTTTGGATCATACACCTTGTTCAGTTTGACATGCTTGTGTTATTATGTCCATTGTGAGTATGATACCTTTTTTTGTTTCTTTAATAAATTATTTTAAACGATAATGCACTAGGTGGGTGCGCCCTTTTTTCTGTTTCTCCATTTGTATCTACCTTGTCAGGGCAAGGGCTGGGGCCGGGGAGGCAGAGAGTCCATGGAGCAGTGCCCCCTGAGTGGTCACCTCAGAGGTGCTCTTAGTAGCACATGGGGGTGGGATCCCAAGTGTGAAAAGTTCAAACACTTTTCCTGCACTGCGCCTCCAGGGCAGTTCTTATGGTCCAAAATCATCATTATTGATGGAAGGAGGGGATGGTGGGTGGGGTGATTTGTTGGATCAGTGCATGTCTGATCCAACAAACCGAGCGGGCATCTTGGAATGACTGGACTGGAGATCAAAATATGATACCATCTACTGTACCTTAATGTGCGAGACAAATTTGCATATCTTGAGGCTGAGCAGAGGAAAGGAAGTATGCAAATTATTATGCAAATTAGGGTGACCATGGTCCTTTGCAATTGGATCAGAACACACTCCTAATCTACAACAACAAAAGGAGTATGGCATATGAGAAGAAAAAAAAAACAGAAAGAAAACATAAATAAAAACAAAAACATAAAGTGGAATTCCACTCACCCTGTTAAAAACTGTTGCTGCTGACTTATTGGTCCTGTGGTGTGTCCCTCGCAGCCCGTTTCACCAGCTGTCAAAAGTTCTGAACTTTCTATTCTCTATTTAAAAAAAACTGAAGAAAAGTTTTGGCTGGAGTTGGGCTTCAAGTGAGGATTCTGGTTGGCCCTTTTGGGTATATCTTCAAATTTTGATTTAGGTTACTTCATTTCTTAGAAATTGGCTACATAGAGTGATTTATGCAATTAAGAGATCCAATAATAGACACATTATTTTCATTTCCTGGAAGGTTCATGGCCACCAACGACCTGATGATGGAGCTGCAGAAGGACTCAATCAAGCTGGATGAAGACAGCGAGAGGAAGGTGGTGAAGATGCTTCTGAAGTTGCTGGAGGACAAGAATGGAGAGGTGCAGAACTTGGCAGTAAAGTGGTGAGAGAGGTGTGGGGATCCTGTAACATTCTACCATTAAAGTGGTTGTAAACCTCAATCATAAAGTATGAACAAAGCATATCCCTCTATGCTGTGGACTTGCCTCAATCCAGATCACTAAGTGTCATTTCTGGTGAAGGGGAGGGACATTCTCCTAATACTGGGTGGAAGGGGGGGGGGGGGGTTGGGGGTGTCTCTTCCCTCCAATCAGCTGTCAGAGCTCTCCTCATTGAGCTTTGCAATGGGTCACTTCAGCTCTTTGCCCTTTTTTCTGTTCTCAGACAAGCTTTATAAATTATAGACTGAATGGCTGTAGAGAAGAGAAGACTTCAGATAAACAGGTACAATTTATGTAGGAGGATTTGTTTCATCACTGACAGTCACTGATTGTAGATGGTATCATATTTTGATCTCTAGTCTAGTCATTACTGTTGAAGGGAAGGTTAGTCTTCCCATATCTGGCCATGCAGAGGGAGGCATTCCTTGATGCATACCAGACAGAGGCAGACTGACCATTTGGAAACTTGGGCACTGCCCGAAGGCCCGGGTCAGTAGGGGGCCCCATGAGATGCCCCTGGTACCTTTTTCATAGGCTTTTTTGAGTTTGGGCAAGGACACAGGGGCCCCATGATCCCCTATTGCCCAGGGGCCCCATGAGTTGTCAGTCCGCCCCTGATATCAAACCTCTGATACTTCCAAGTGATATCAGATAAGATCTCCTCCCAGGAAAAGCCATTTCTGTTCTATCATCACATCATTTGATCAGTTTGGTGTGGATGATCCCTACTGAACACATTCAGGATGAATTCAAATTCCAATTGTGAGCCAAACCTTAGTGTCCAACTTCAGCACTTGACTTTACAAAACCGTCTTTTGGCTAAACGGGCTCTAATTTCCAAAAACACATTCCAAAATCTTGTGTAAGGCCTTCCCAGAGGAGCCTGACAAATGAGTCATGGGGAAAAGCAGTGGGTAGGGGGGGGGGGGGTTAGAGCAGTTTGGCATCTTGGGTGCTGGATGACCTTGTCCAAAAACTGGTTGTAGGACTGCTATGGAAAGGGCCAATGGGTCAAGAGAATAGATTACATTAAAATTTGGGGTAGAATCCTGGTAGCCTGGGCTCCGTACTGGACTGGTGGTACCCATTATCCCCAGCACTGATTGTCACCAGAACATTTGTCCCCATTGGAAGATTCACCCTCATAATGCTACACCCTCATAATTCTACATCATAGACAATTGTGCTCTTCCACCTTTGTAGTAAGAGTATGATAAATGATAAAGCCAACTCCACGAAGACATGGTGGGGTTTATTTACTAAAGCTGGAAAGTCCAAAATCAGACTCCCTTCTGCATAGAAACCAATCAGCTTCTAACCTCAGCTTGTTCAATGAAGGTTTGGCAATGAAACCTGGAAGCTGATTGGTTTCTATGCAGAAGGGAGTCTGATTTTGGACTCTCCAGCTTTAGTAAATAAACCCCGGTGTGTCCAGTTAGGTGTGAAGGAACCCAACTGAACACCTTTGGGATGAACTGAAACGCCACATCTGAGCCAGGTCAACATCAGTACCTGTCCTCACAAATCATTTTTGGCCGCAAAGTCCCATAGACACACTCTAAAACCTTGTGAAACGACTTCCCAGAGGAGAAGAGGATGTTATAGCCACAGAGGGAGGCAGACTCCATTTATTAATATATATTTGGGATGGTAGGTCCAGCGAACCCTCATATTGGTGTGATGGTCAGATGTCCTCAAACACTTGACCATATAGTGTATAGTCCCAGGGCACAGAAAAGTTTTGAAATGTCATTTAAATGATATGAAATGGTTAGTGGTCAATTCATAAGAAGAAGTAATAACAGAAGTACTTGGGTGATTTTAAGAAGCTCATTCAGCTACTATAATCACTAAGAGCAGCTATGGGTACAACAATGGACCATGTGGCTCATTATGGTGTGTAACGCACACAAGTACACATGGAAGGAAATAATTGTGCACACTGTGAGATCATTCATTGCTATTGCTGTACGTTCTACTTATTGACTAGGGAGCCTTTTGTTCCTTTTAAATAGCGAGGAATCTCTGCCCTTAATTCACGGCCATTCTAATACTGCGATTGAGCTATGAAGAAGCCACCTTGTTCTCCTACCCTACAAATGTAGACTTCTTTTTCTGCACCAGTGATGGGATTTGCTATACCCTGCCACGTTTATATCCTGTGTCTCTCCTGACAGCCTGGGTCCTCTGGTGGGGAAGGTGAAGGACTACCAGGTGGAGGCCATTGTGGACACTCTGTGCAGCAACATGCTATCAGATAAGGAGCAGCTCAGAGATATCTGCAGCATCGGTCTGAAGACCGTAATTTCCGAACTTCCTGCCGCAAGCTCAGGTAGGTGGGTTTGACATGGCGACATTTGGTACAGATGTTAGAAGATACACAGAATACATCGCATACATATGAGATTAATGCTGAATGTGCAAAAAATGTTCCCCCGTGCAGTTCAGTGGTTCCTCCCACCGACCTCCATATTACTTATGTGTTCTGTAATGACATTCAAGATGACGGTAGGAACCACTGTGGTGGGGTGAGGAGATTGACACTCCTGAAAGCGTCAGTTTCCCAGAAAGATTTGTCGGGAACAGAGTAGTGTTCTGGTGGCTTGGGGCTAGAGTAACAGAGTGTACAGAGGAAGCAGCATTGCAAGCCAATCAGGTTATGTGCTGAGAAGAAGCATGCTGATAGAAGGAGAGAGCCCAGTCACAGAGAGATCTTTGTCTCCTCATATCAGCATGCTCCTACTCAGCACATGAATGCATTGACTTATCACTCTGTGCTGCTCACCTTCACTGACAATCAAAGGCTGGGACAGGTCCATGACAGCCTGGGCTCAGAGGAAGTGGGTTGCATGATGCTAGCCTATCATTGAACCCCGCAGACTGAGGACATCTGATGGCTCACCACTGTGCTGCTTCACCTTCACTGACCAGTCAAAGGCTGAGGGCGGATCCATGACAGCCTGGGCTCAGAGGAAGTGGGCTGCATGATGCTAGCCTGTCATTAAACCCCGGAAACTGAAGAGATCTGGTGGCTCATCACTGTGCTGCTTCACCTTCACTGACCAATCAAATGCTGGGGACGGGTCCATGACAGCCTGGGCTCAAAGGAAGTGGACTGCATGATGCTAGCCTCTCATTGAACCCTGCAGACTGAGGACATCTGGTGGCTCACCACTGTGCTGCTTCACCTTCACTGACCAGTCAAAGGCTGAGGGCGGATCCATGACAGCCTGGGCTCAGAGGAAGTGGGCTGCATGATGCTAGCCTGTCATTGAACCCCGGAGACTGAGGACATCTGGAGACTGTGGAGATCTTGTGGGCTCATCACTGTGCTGCTTCACCTTCACTGACGAATCAAAGGCTGGAGGCAGGTCCATGACAGCCTGGGCTCAGAGGAAGTAGGTTGCATGATGCTAGCCTGTCATTAAACCCCGGAAACTGATGAGATCTGGTGGCTCATCACTGTGCTGCTTCACCTTCACTGACCAATCAAATGCTGGGAACGAGGACATGACAGCCTGGGCTCAAAGGAAGTGGGCTGCATGATGCTAGCCTATCATTGAACCCCGGAGACTGAGGACATCTGGTGGCTCACCACTGTGCTGCTTCACCTTCACTGACCAGTCAAAGGCTGATGGTAGATCCATGACAGCCTGGGCTCAGAGGAAGTGGGTTGCATGATGCTAGCCTGTCGTTGAACCACCAGAGACTGAGGACATCTGGTGGCTGATCACTGTGCTGCTTTACCTTCACTGACCAATCAAAGGGTGGGGACGGGTTCATAACAGCCTGGGCTCAGAGGTAGTGGGTTGCATGATGCTAGCCTGTCATTGAACCCCCAGAGACTTCAGAGATCTGGTGGCTCACCACTGTGCTGCTTCACCTTCACTGACCAATCAAAGGCTGAGGGTGGATCCATGACATCCTGGGTTCAGACGAAGTGACTCAGAGGAAGTGGGTTGCATGATGCTAGCCTGTCATTGAACCCCGGAGACTGCGGAGATCTGGTGGCTCATCACTGTGTTGCTTCACCTTCACTGACCAATCAAAGGCTGGGGGTGGGTCCATGACAGCCTGGGCTCAGAGGTAGTGGGTTGCATGATGCTAGCCTGTCATTGAACCCCGGTGACTGCGGAGATCTGGTGGCTCATCACTGTGTTGCTTCACCTTCACTGACCAATCAAAGGCTGGGGGTGGGTCCATGACAGCCTGGGCTCAGAGGTAGTGGGTTGCATGATGCTAGCCTGTCATTGAAACCTGGAGACTGTGGAGATCTGGTGGCAAAAAAATAATGTGGGGGACAGCTCCCGACTCAAGATGAATATTGCGGCAATTGTTGTTTTTCATGCAAGCTTCTTTTATATAATTATGCCTCAATTTTGCTCCAGGCTCAGGTTTGGCTGCCAACGTGTGTGTCGCAAGATCACGGGTCAGCTGACCGGAGCTATCGGTAAACGGGATGATGCCGCTGTACAGCTGGAGGCTCTTGACATCCTGTCGGACATGTTGGGAAGGTGGGTTTCAGCTCCCTGCCAGGTTGATATCCATATACGCGAGTTCCATTATGTGATATTGTACCCCCTTCTCCCCTTTGTCCTGTTTGCCCCCAGCAGATTAGGAGGTGCCCTCTACTCTTTCCACCCTTCCATCCTCACCTGCCTACTCAGCCAGCTCACCAGTCCGCGGCTCGCTGTGAGGAAGAGAGCGGTGCTGGCGCTTGGTCACCTGGTACAGACCTGCAACGGCAACCTCTTCACCGAACTTGTAGAGCACCTTGTGGGTGAAATGAAGAAGAACGAGTCTACGTCAACCACCAGAACGTACATTCAGTGCGTGGCAGCCGTCAGTTGGCAAGCAGGACACAGATTAGGTATGGCCAACCAACATGGAGCTTGTACATTCATGATTGAGGTGATTGTAGCCGTATTAGTGCACTTGTAACAAAAAACAATCCAGTACTGTCCGTTATACTTCTTGTGGTTGCACCAACATCCAAATATTAAGGACAAGCTTTTGGGGTGTACCCCCTTCTTCACAGTCCAAGCAGTACTACTACTTGGACTTTGAAGAAGGGGACAGGGGACAGTCCAAGTAGTACTACTGCTTGGACTGTGAAGAAGGGGACAGGGGACAGTTCAAGTAGTACTACTGCTTGGACTGTGAAGAAGGGGACAGGGGACAGTTGTAGTACTGCTTTGACTTTGAAGAAGGGGACAGGGGACAGTTCAAGTAGTACTACTGCTACTGAAGAAGGGACAGTCAAGTAGTACTACTGCTGGACTTTGAAGAAGGGGACAGGGGACAGTTCAAGTAGTACTACTGCTTGGACTGTGAAGAAGGGGACAGGGGACAGTTCAAGTAGTACTACTGCTTGGACTTTGAAGAAGGGGACAGGGGACAGTTCAAGTAGTACTACTGCTTGGACTTTGAAGAAGGGGACAGGGGACAGTTCAAGTAGTACTACTGCTAGGACTTTGAAGAAGGGGACAGGGGACAGTTCAAGTAGTACTACTGCTTGGACTTTGAAGAAGGGGACAGTACAGTTCAAGTAGTACTTTTGAAGAAGGGGACAGGGGACAGTTCAAGTAGTACTACTGCTTGGACTTTGAAGAAGGGGACAGGGGACAGTTCAAGTAGTACTACTGCTTGGACTTTGAAGAAGGGGACAGGGGACAGTTCAAGTAGTACTACTGCTTGGACTGTGAAGAAGGGGACAGGGGACAGTTCAAGTAGTACTACTGCTTGGACTTTGAAGAAGGGGACAGGGGACAGTTCAAGTAGTACTACTGCTTGGACTGTGAAGAAGGGGACAGGGGACAGTTCAAGTAGTACTACTGCTTGGACTTTGAAGAAGGGGGCGCACCCCAAAAGCTTGTCCTGAATATTTGCATGTTAGTGCAACCAAAAGAAGTATAACGGACATGCACATTTATGGAAAACTAAAGCAAAACTCCAGGCATACCTGTTTCTGCACAGTGGAAGAAAGTCCTGTCCTGTGTTGCAACTGATTACTCTCAATTCTCTGCAAACTTGCATCACCGCATTATAAGCTGCAACAGCTATCTAGAGCCTTCTGAACATTCATCATCAATTACTCTTTTCCTGATCTATATAATCATTGGCCCACCTCTAACACTTATTAGCTTTCTCTGTCATCTATCATTTTGCTCCAGCAGAAATTACGAAAGAACACCACTTCCCCGGCATCCCTTTAGACATGCATGTTCAGACAGTTAAAGTTTGCAGCACCCAGTGCCAAGTCAGCAAGAGCATGCATATCTAAAGGGATGACAAGGATGTGTTCTTTCATATAATACTCTAGAAAGAGGATCTGAAGCAGGGTGCTGTGTTGTTTAGAGTAGCCTGCAAGAGAGAGAAAGACACTCACCTTCACAGCTCTGGACATCCCCAGGAATGGGAGTTGGGTTGTGCATACACCGTCATGAAACCCACAGCATCTCTCGGAACCCACCAGGTCCCCATGCAGCGTGTATCCCTTCTTCCATGGGACTGTTCTGCCCCCCCTGAAAAATGCCGCCCTAGGCAAATTCCTTGTTTGCCTTGTGGTAAATACACCCCTGCACTCATCCGCCAGCTATATATATATTAAAATGCATGCTGCATCCTCCAATAAAACAGTTGACAGAATTGCTGCTTTGCTGTGGGACTGGCATGATCAATATGTGAAAATAAAGGGGAAAAAAAGCCTAAAAAAAAGAAAACTAATGCAGCCACTATACCTAAGAATTTGTAAGCTGCAATGTAATACTGTATCAGGGGCGGACTGACAACTCATGGGGCCCCCGGGCAACAAGGGATCATGGGGCCCCTGTGTCCTTGCCCAAACTCAAAAAAGCCTATGAAAAAGGTGCCAGGGGCATCTCATGGGGCCCCCTACTGACCCCGGGCCCTCAGGCAGTGCCCGAGTTTCCAAATGGACAGTCCGCCCCTGTACTGTATATTGTTGATAGTAGAGTAGGAAGGGTTAGATTATTGTTTCATTGCTACTCATGACAACAGCACCCCCCCCCCCCCCATTTCTTGTGCAGGTGTCACAGGGCAGGAAGTTAAAGAAAATTCACCTAGTGGTGTCACAGACAGAAAAAAGTAATCCTCCTGACAGAGATTTAGTTATTCTCCACTGTATCCAAAACAAAAAAAAATGACTGGAGTTACGCTTTAACATTTTTAAAAACGTTTATAACTGACCTTCGTATCTCAGTCACTGAACCCTTGCTACCAGGATCCTTTTCATTTGCTCTCCCCAGGGCCACACTTGGACAGAATAGTGCCCCTAGTGGTTGGCTTCTGCAAGGTGGAAGATGACGAGCTGCAGGAACAGTGTTTCCAGGCCATGGAGTCCTTTATAAAACGCTGCCCAAAGGAGATCTCGTCTTATGTTCCCACCATTACGGATTTGTGCCTGAAGTACATCGCCTACGACCCCAACTACAATTACGACAGCGAGGAGGAAGAGGACGCAATGGAGACAGAGAGTGACGAAGAACAAGGTTTGTGTAGCTTTGAGGAAACTTGCTCAGCTGAACTCCAGGCACACAGCGAAATACAAAATTGAAATACATAGGTAGGACCTGTTCCACAGGCCAAGGGATTTGTATTTTTTTTTTTATCCAGATCTGAAATTTATACAGCTCTGCCAGACAGCAGAACCAAACTGCTGATCTGGCAGTAAAGTCTGGTCCAGGGGTGGACTGACAACTCATGGGGCCCCCGGGCAATAGGGGATCATGGGGCCCCTGTGTCCTTGCCCAAACTCAAAAAAGCCTATGAAAAAGGTACCAGGGGCATCTCATGGGGCCCCCTACTGACCCTGGGCCCTCGGCAGTGCCCGAGTTTTCAAATGGTCAGTCCGCCCCTGGTCTGGTCACCACATATTCCCATCCTATGGCTGGAGGGAGCAGCAGATGACTGATAAGGTCTCCCTTTCAGCACGTTTCATATTATAAATGCAGGAAAAATAAGTGAGCGCTAGGTAAAGTCGACACTGACAGCAGCTGTACACCAAAAAAGGCACCATATAAGACCTTTCAAAGGACAGACATACAATACAAAAGGGTGCAGCGCTCCTGGAATCTATAATACATGAAACTAATAAATATGTTAAAGTGATCATGTGCAAATAAATATATACGCTACTAATTATTAGTGCTGGAAATTGTGAAATCAAATATAAAAGTTCATAGAAGAGGTGATGGTAGGATCCCAAGTGATGTAAGGATGTCCTATGATGGAGACCGTAGGTCAGGTGATATGGGATAATATGATTGCGCACTCACCAGATACGCAAATCAAATGCGCATAAACTGTAGAAATCACAGGTCATCCAATATCATCAGAAGGATCTGGTCAGATCTGGTCACTGTATATCACACTCCCTGACGACACTGCCACACCTGAGGATCACCTTGCAATGGATGTAGCTTGCTCTGTGTAGTCAGCTCCCAAAGGAGCTCAAAAGAACAAAGGCGCCCACATAGTGTAGTATTTTTAGGATGTTTATTCCGTTCACAGGTAAGTGGTACAGATAGGAGTAAAATAAAGGATTACTGACCATAAATGTAAGCAAGATGGCCGCCGGGGCTCCTCGTGGCGCCGGCGGCGTGGCGTCACACCTGCTGTAGCTCTGCCCTGACGCGTTTTTCGAGCTACTGCTCGTAGTCATAGGGGTTCAGCTTCATATTATGTTCAATTAGCACCAGGGGCGTCCCTGGGGTTGGTGTCACCCGGTGCGATAACACTTGGTGACACCCCCTCCGACAATCCCCGCAGAATGGATCGGATCTGCGGATTGAGCATAATGGATCGGAGTCCGATCCATTATCCTCCCCAATGTGCAGATCCGATCCATCCTGCGGGAATCATCGGCATGCAACCTATATGGGGTGACACCGGACCCGCTCCACGAAAAGGTAAGTTGTAAAGCAAGCCGACGATCCCGGCAGGATGGATCGGATCTGCGGATTGGGGAGCATAATGGATCGGACTCCGATCTATTATACTCAGTCCGCATATCCGATCTATCCTGCGGGGATCGTTGGCTTGTTTTACAACTTACCTTTTCGTGGAGCGGGCCCAGTGTCACCCCGTGCAGTAGGTGTCACCCGCTGCGGCGCGTACCCCCTGCACCTGCCTTGGGACGCCACTGATTAGCAAAACTGGTGATACTACAAATCCCATCATGCCTCTGCCTTTCAGAGTCATGCCTGTAACTGTCAATCTTGCAATGCCTCATGGGACTTGTAGTTTGGCAACAGCTGGAGGGCCGCCAGTTTGACACCCGTGACTTAGCATATCCGATTGACCTCAAGTGTTGCTCCACTCTCACTTGGTCTAAGTTTCCTGTTCAGGTGATAACAAGAAGCTCATACCAGGTCCCATTCAGGTATATACACACCAGTTAAATTGATAAATAAAAGTGATCTTTGTGCATTAGTTGGAGCTGGTGTCATACCTGCCTGGGGTTCAACAAGCTAGCCAGCCTGAACTATGGACATTTCAAATATTTGTAATTTTTTAAAAAGCAGTACATTAGCTTTAAAACAAGCCCTCACTGATCTCTATAGCTGCAGGCACTGTAGAGAAATTCATCCTCAAACTTTATAGCAGAGGCGCTGATGTCCCTCAAGTTGGTTTCCTCTGCACCTCAGCTTCAGCGTCTCCCCCTACCAGCGCCGACTCTGGGAGGAGGCACAAGGGGAGCTGAGCTGTTGAGTCACTGCTGGGAGGAGGCACAAGGGGAGCTGAGCTGTTGAGAGAACCAACTTGAAGGTTTTCATTGCCTCTGCTTTGAACTTTGAGGAGGGATTGCTCCACTGTGCCTGCAGCTATAGAGGTCAGTGTGAGTTGTTTTAAAGCTTATTTACTGCTTGTTAAGGATACGTAAATACTTGAGCCTGGGCACAGGTTCACTTTAAGGCTTCCATTGTACGCCCAGCCTGAGCTCGGACTGATCTAGACTCGGATGGCTGGAGGAATGAATCGTGTTTGCTTGCTTCCCTCAGAGAGCGAGGAGGAGTACAGCGATGACGATGACATGAGCTGGAAGGTGAGGCGCTCTGCAACAAAGTGTCTGGAGTCTCTGATCACCGCCCGGCCCGATATGCTTTCTCAGTTCTACAAGACCGCTGCTCCCGCCATTATCCTGCGCTTCAAGGAGAGGGAGGAGAATGTAAAGTCAGACATCTTCTCGGCCTACATCGCCCTGCTGAGACAGACACGGGCTTCTCAGAGCCGGAGGCAGAATGTGGAGGCCACTGGCAAGGGGGACTCCCCGCTCAGTGCTCTGCAGAAACAGGTAGGACTAGTTATACTTGATTGTTTCCTTTTACATTTTTAGGGTTCATATACACTCAACGGCCACTTTATTGGGTACACCTGTTCAATTGCTTGGTAACACTTGTAACACCCTCCTAGTTTAGCTAGGGCAGGGGTGGGCAAACTTTTTGACTTGAGGGCCGCAATGGGTTCATATATTGGACCCGGGGGCCGGACCAAGAGTAGATGAATGATGTGTATGTGTCATCCATAGTAAGTATAGTAATATTCCCCCATAGTAAGCATAGTAATTAATCCCCCATATAGTAATTCATCCCCCATAGTAATTAATCCCCCATATAGTAAATTCATCCCCCATAGTAATTCATCCCCCATACAGTAATTCATCCCTCATAGTAATTCATCCCCCATAGTAATTCATCCCCCCATAAATTCATCCCCCATATAGTAATTCATCCCCCATAGTAATTCATCCCCCATAGTAATTAATCCCCCATATAGTAATTCATCCCCCATAGTAATTCATCCCCCATATAGTAATTCATCCCCCATATAGTAATTCATCCCCCATAGTAATTCATCCCCCATAGTAATTCATCCCCAATAGTAATTCATCCCCCATAGTAATTAATCCCCCATATAGTAATTCATCATCCATAGTAATTCATCCCCCATAGTAATTAATCCCCCATAGTAATTCATCCCCCATAGTAATTAATCCCCCATATAGTAATTCATCCCCCATAGTAATTCATCCCCCATATAGTAATTCATCCCCCATAGTAATTCATCCCCCATATAGTAATTCATCCCCCATAGTAATTCATCCCCCATAGTAATTCATCCCCCATATAGTAATTCATCCCCATAGTAATTCATCCCCCATAGTAATTCATCCCCCATATAGTAATTCATCCCCCATATAGTAATTCATCCCCCATAGTAATTCATCCCCCCCATAGTAATTCATCCCCCATATAGTAATTCATCCCCCATATAGTAATTCATCCCCCATAGTAATTCATCCCCCATATAGTAATTCATCCCCCATATAGTAATTCATTCACCATATAGTAATTCATTCCCCATATAGTAATTCATCCCCCATAGTAATTCATCCCCCATATAGTAATTCATCCCCCATAGTAATTCATCCCCCATAGTAATTCATCCCCCATATAGTAATTCATCCCCCATATAGTAATTCATCCCCCATAGTAATTCATCCCCCATAGTAATTCATCCCCCATATAGTAATTCATCCCCCATATAGTAATTCATTCCCCATATTAATTCATCCCCCATATTAAGTCCCCAATCCCCCCTGTGTCAATTCACTTACCTTTGCTCCGCGCGTTCTTCTCGCCATGTTCCCGCGCCGTTCTGGTGTAGCATGAAAATCTGTCTCCTATGAGGATCTGTCCCCCTCGACGTATCTGCGCATGTGCCAGTTTCAGGCATTAGCAGGCGATCGGCGATCTCCAGCACATGCGCAGATACGTCGAGGGGGACAGATCCTCATAGGAGACAGATTTTCATGCTACACCGGTCTTCAGGGCGGACTGTGAGAGGAGCCCAGCGGGAGCCTAGCTCCACGGGCTGGATTAAAAGGTCCGCCGGGCCGTAGTTTGCCCATTGCTGAGCTAGGGGGAGATAGATCCTAATGGTTAGACAGGAGCTGGTTTGCAGCTCAAGTGCAAAAGCCAGAGGGGTCAAATTGTGTTCAGTTCTGAGAGACTCTGCAGGCCAGCTCCACTGAAATTTCCCCCTGCTCTGAGGCTTTCGGAGGAGGGCTTTGGAGGCAGTGGGTGGATGGATTGAGGGACCTCAGCAAATCCCCAACATTAGGCTTGGCAAGGGGCTGGAACTTCCTTAAAAGTATTGGAGCTTGCTCAGCTGGGGACTGTGAGGAGGCGGGTGGAAGAAGGAGTAGGAAGATGTGAGGCTGGAGGAGGAAGGCTGCCAGGAGGTCTAGTGGGATAGGGCCTGCCTGCCTGCCATCCTTGAGCTAGAGAGGCAGAAAACTCAGAGCTCACTGGCCCCCTGAGAGAGGGCCACCTGTATGGCAGGGACGGAGCAGCCCAGCTGATAGGCCTGGGTGCAGTAGTATACCGGCAAGCAGTACAGTAGAGGATCTTAACTTAGTGAGTACACCTGCACCCTCTGGGCGGATAGGGGAAGAAGCGCTCTGGTGGGAAACCAGATTAGCCTCCTACTAGTGACTGTTCACCTCAATTAAAGGGACAGGAGCCAGATCCCCTGCTCAGAAAAAGTCTCCAGCCTGCTGGGTGGAGAGCAGTTCCTTAGGGTCTGGGGTGGTACAACTAGGAAATGCTGGCTAGCACTCCAACAGAGAGTGCTGCAGAAGAAGAAGAAGCTTGTGAATAGTTTCAGGAAGTTTGTCCTCAGTTATCGGTTCCCTTGGGCATCTTATACACCCCTTACCCTATCCCAGATAAATCCCCTCGATAAATAACAAAACCAAAGCTCAAGGGCTTATATTCTAACCCTGGATGCAAGCTTGTGTAGAGAATGCAGATTGCCTGGCTGTGCAGGATAGAGGGACCCAATTTATCAGCAACCCTTAAGGGTGTAGTGCTACACACAAATTGCTAATCAGCCAATCACATGGCAGCAACTCAATGCATTTAGGCATCTAAAAGTAGTGAAGACGACTTGTTGAAGTTCAAACCGAGCATCAGAATGGGGAAGAAAGAGGATTTAAATGACTTTGAACGTGGCATGGTTGTTGGTGCCAATGCTCTGAGTATTTCAAAAACTGCTGAACTAATGGAATTTTCACGTACATCCACCTCTAGGGTTTACAGAGAATGGCCCAAAAACGTGAAAATATTCAGTGAGTGGCAGTTGTGTGGACAAAAATCCCTTGTGATGTCAGAGGTGAGAGGAGAATTGGCAGATTGGTTGCTGCAACATTCAAATGGTAGGGTCAGAACTTGGAGTAAACAACGAGAAAGCATGGATCCATCCTGCCTGGTTCAGGCTAGTGGTGGTGGTATAATGGTGTGGGGCAGGGGTAGACTGACAACTCAGGGGGCCCCCGGGCAATAGAGGATCATCGGGCCCCTGTGTCCTTGCCCAAACTCAAAAAAGCCTATGAAAAACGTACCAGGGGCATCTTGTGGGGCCCCCTACTGACCCCGGGCCCTGGGGCAGTGCCCGAGTTTCCAGATGGTCACTCCGTCCCTGGTGTGAGGGATATTTTCTTGGCACTAGCAAGGTGTACCTAATAAAGTGGCCAGTGAGCGGCAGTTGTGTGGACGAAAATGCCTTGTGATGTCAGAGGTGAGAGGAGAATTGGCAGACTGGTTGCTGCAACATTCAAATGGTAGGGTCAGAACTTGGAGTAAACAACAGAAAGCATGGATCCATCCTGCCTGGTTCAGGCTGGTGGTGGTGTCATGGTGTGTGGGATATTTTCTTGCCACTAGCAAGGTGTACCTAATAAAGTGGCCGGTGAGTGCATGTACAAGTCTTCAGCCCCTCACATCTTCATAAAACATACAGTTATCCTTTAACCCCCAACCCTTCACTCATGCTAACCTCCCTCATGACTTCAGATGTATATGTACCTTACTTGGGCAACTGAGGCCCACAGGGTTCTCTCAAGTGGTTCCTGTAACAGGAAATGACCCCAAATCCATAGGTTTCTACTGTGTAGGTGCTGCCGGATGAAAGAAGTCCCGGGCTGGAAGAGTTAGAGAAGGTCAATTCATGTACATTTCTGTTGGGTGGAAAAGGGACTTGGTTTAGGTTGGGGGGCAAGCTTTTACATTCACATTGGCTCATAGGATTTGAAAAGCAGCTCAGAGACCAAGGGAAATCCAGGAACAGTTCAAGCAGGTTTGTCCTGCACGATTGTTTCACATTGCAGCAAACAAGCACACTTTCCATGGAGGAGGCTTTGCACAGCCAGTCCATAGCATAGCTCATCTGAATAACTAACTAAACTCAGGTCCATTCCTGACTAATTGGGGGCCCCCAGAGGGTTTCCCAACACAAACCGTTCTTATAGCTCTTTAGTGTTCTGTCAGCACTCGGCCTTTTCACCCAGCAGCAGACTCCCTCAGCAGAGAGATAGAGTGCCCTGAGCAGTTCACATGAATAAAAGCCTGTGTACTGTGAAGACTAACCCTCGGTTCACACTCTGCAGGCTGGTTTCAGGTGTGAGAATCAAATCTGTTCCCGCACTCACAACCACCCGCAGCCACATCTGCTTATGAGACGCATGGGGCTGCCATTCGTTCTGATTGGTACCCCCATGTAACTCAGCCCGCAGCGCAATTGTGGGTGAAGATGCAGCCGCGGTGAAACCGCATGGTCTTTTGGACCATGCAGTTTCCCTGCGGTTGCATTTTCAAAAAGGTGCATGCACCTTGTTTGTGCAAAAATGCCAGCAAAGAAGCCAACTGCATGGCCTGCAATAGTGTGAACCGAGGGTAATAATGTGGACTGGATAAGAAAGAAGAAGGAGACCAAGAGAAAAAGATTCCTTAGGTCAAGGGGTCCCAATGAGGGTCCTCATTGGGACCCCTTGACCTAAGGGATCTTTTTTCTCTTGGTCTCCTTCTTCTTTCTTATGCATTATCAGGTTCCAAGGACACCACAGTGTGATCCACTTGTGAGTCTGCTACGAGGATTTTGTAGTATTTGGGGTTACCATTTTGGAACCCCCCTGGTCTCCATTTATCCAATATCTAGCTAAGGGCATCCCGGTTTTTTATTATTTTGTGTAATAAATGTGGACTATCTACTTTGTAAGATGAGAACCTAGGACTGGAGGATTCATTCCATCCAAAGAAGCTCTGGAGACCGTCTGGGTTCCATGTTCCAGAGAAGACTTCAGTCATCCCTCCTGGTGTTCCTCACCATGTGTGGGTGAGAACCCACAATCCTTTCACTACCTAGTGCCTCTATAGGCTCTTTCTGTCTAAATGAAAACTTGGACAGAGCTGTCTGTTGAGTTCTGCAAAATACATGTTGTTTTCGAGCAAAGGAAATAAAGAAAAACCTAAGGAGTTTAAAATGCCACCTTCTGGATAGACGCACCACACCTCAACGCTCTGCAGTGAATAGAAGTGAATAAAATATCACTTTTTGACATTTCAGTAAAGTAAAAAATGCAAACAGTGCATGGCAATTTATTCAGCTAATGAACACTGTTCCTTGCAGCCTACACCAGCGGCCGTGCGTTACACTGCTGTTGATGGTGACGAGCCCTGAATTGAAAGACCCCTGTGTGTTGTGATTCACATTCTGTCTGTCCTGTCATCGCAGGTTCCTTCCGTATTGAAATCCCTCCACAAACTCCTAAAAGATAAGAGCACCAAATCCCGTCAAGGCTGCTTTGCGGTCCTCACAGAACTAACTGGTGCACTCCCGGGCTGCCTCTCCCAGCACATCCCAGCTCTGGTCCCAGGTAAGAGATTTATTTTATGATCACCACACAATATATTTTACACAAAGAAAAAAATCATTCTGAAAGTTTCAGGGAGCTTACAAACATTTTAAAGGTAAATTTGTCTTTATTACATTTTCAACAGTTTTACAATACAAGGCATGGAGAAAACATACATATCACAAGTGTAATAAAAGCGCCACACCCTTAATACTTTAAAGCAGCAATTCCACCTCAAAGAAACCAAATAAATTTCTTAGTGCTATAACTTAACCCCTTCCCGCCGATGCCTCCCGGCCCTTTAAGAGATTCAGACGCCGGGAGGCGGGGCGGTTGGGGCGTGGTTTAGGAATCATGTGACGCGTCACGGCGGTCACATGATCGGGAAAGGTCCCGTTTGAAAGAGCGGACCGGGACCTTTCCGCGAGTACCACACATGTGCGCTGGGAGCGCGCAGGGCGCGCGCTCTCAGCACATATGTATTTAGTTACATGGACGCAAATGTGCGGCCGCTCGGCGTCTAGGCCCAGACGCCGGGAGGCCGCACATTTGTGTGCGGCCGGCGCAAAGGGGTTAAATAAAGGAATGCGCTAAAACCACAAACTATTCCTAATTTAGTGTAGAAACATTAGTGCAAAAGATATATATATCTATTCTCAATTAATATCAAAAAATATCAAAATTATGTGCAAAACTATTTTTTTAGTGCATAAGTAATTTAAATAATTAAATTTGTGAATATAAAAATAACCGCCCCTTGAAGACGTCATTCATGACGAAACTAGTAGGGCTTGCTGGATGCTGACGTCTGTGGAGAGGATTGAGTCACGAGCGCTGTAGTGAGTGTGCGGGGAGCAGGAGACTGTTACACCATTTGCTGTTTTATGCTGTTATACTGGTGTCGGTGAAGACACCCTTTTTGTGAGTGTAAATCTTTATTAAATTGTTGGATACTTTTATAAAAAAAAACTGGCTGCACCATGATTTTCTCTTTCATTCCCAAACATGACCTCGGTGGAGAGATATAAAAAGAGAGAGTGATATAATGCTCCTGGAACCGTTATATTGAGTGGTGGATACCTACCTTATGGATGATTGTGTAGCTATTGATCATCACACCCGAGAAGTTGATTTATTGCATCTGCTCCCAGAGCAAAAAGCGTTTTTTGCTGATCTAGAGATTGATCAGCATGGAGCTCTGGTGAGTTACCCAACTTTACTTTTGGTGGTGGATTTTGGCACAATTTCTTTGAGAGCACCTGAATTTGAAAAGGATTTGTTTGGACATTTGAAGAAATTCAGAATTGGACAATTTTTATATTCACAAATTTAATTATTTAAGTTACTTATGCACTAAAAAAAAATAGTTTTGCACATCATTTTGATATTTTTTGATATTAATTGAGAATAGATATATATATATCTTTTGCGCTAATGTTTCTACACTAAATTAGGAATAGTTTGTGGTTTTAGCACATTCCTTTATTTAAGATGGAGAAAACATACATTAGAAAAGCCATCGCAATGATCCATGTGAATAGGTGAAAATAGTTTCGTACAAAAAAAGGGAAAAATGTAAGGATCAATAACATAAAAGCATGTCTTACGGAGATATGAATAAATATGGTGTCGAGGAGGGCATCCTCGACGAGATGTAGGGGACAAAATGAGCTAGTTTCGTATAAACAAGAATATGAATCTGAATCCTAACGAACACAAAACCAAAAAAAAAAAAAAAAAAGAAGGGGGGGGGGGGGGGAGAAAATAGAAGGAGAAGAGAAAAAAGAAGTCAGTTGGAGGGATATAGAAAGATAAGAGGAGAGGGGGATCGAGAAATGGGGACGGCAAAAAGCCGGACCGAGGCTGTCTTCTTTCAGGATCCCATCGGGGCGACCTCGCCAGCCACACCCGTTGTGAGCCGAGTTGCCACACTGGAGGACCCCCGGAAAAATTGAATTGGGGGAGCAAGCACAAATCGGTCAGGGCCCGACAGGGGAACACATCTCATGAAGAGTCGAAGAGGAGGAGAAATGGAGCCAGAACGACCACAGTAGCTTATGTTTATCGTAGGTATAATTGGCAAACACCAGCATTTCCCCATACGCATAATATCATTGAGCACGGAAACCCACAGCGGGAGAGATGGGGGGGTGGTCGTTTTCCAGAAAAGGGGTAATAATTGGCAGACCGCAGAAAGAAAAAAAGCGCAATAGTTTTTCTTTTGCTTTGCCAATGAGCCCGGCAATATAGAGAGTAGAGCAATCTCTGGCACAGGGGCCAAGGACTCACCATAGATCCTGTTATACACAGCAAAAACCTGTTGCCAGAACGGTTGTATTTGGTCACAATCCCACCAAATATGGAGCTGCGTACCAACAGCTTTAGTACAACCCCAGCAGAGATTGGATGTAGAGGGAAAAATTGTGTGCAGGGAAAGGGGGTCCCTATACCAGCAAGAAAGAAGCTTAAAGTTTTTTTCTTGGGAATAGCAAGAAATGGATGATTTGTGAGTGAAGTGGAACGACGTGGACCAGTCCGCCACCGAAACATCTTTACCTAGGTCTCGAGCCCATGCCTTGGTGTAAGGAGGGAGCTCGGAATGAAGAGCATTGTGTAACACTTTATAGAGGGAAGCTAGGACATGTCTCGGCGGGTCAGGGGAGGAACACAATCGCTCAGAGAGTGGGCGATGGGTGAGGGAGGAAGTGTTTGCAAAATGAAGAAAGATGCAAAGTGGTCAACCAATCCTTAGATCCACACTGGAAAAGTGGGAGACCCGACTGGGGGCAAATAAATTCTTGAGCTACGGGCCAGGAGGCAAGCGCTTACAAACATTTTAAAAGTCATCCCATCAAAAAGTAATACTTTAGTTATAGGTGGAACCTTGTGGGCTGAGTCAGTTCCTGGCTTCTTACCCAATGGTGTAATCTCCATGCCATAATTCCTGGCTTTGTTCCTGTCCACCTTCAAGTTTTAGTTTGTTTCCACCAACTTTTGTGTGTTGTAGCTCCTGTTAAATTCTTCATGATATAAGGCCAATAATAAATTCAGTGCGAGGCCCTCATATGGGGCACAGCGGGTGTACAGAATCAGGAACTCAGCCAGAGGTGGATTAAAACAGAATGGGACCCTTGGCAAGGTAGCAGCTTTGCAACCCCCATCCCTTCGAACGTTGATAACGATAAGAAGCAAACCTATTTGCTAAACTGGCATGACCCCATCAGACGCTAAATGCTTACAAAGTTTTGACCAACTGTGCTATCTCCAAAGTTTACTGCAAGGTAGTGATTGGGCACAAGGTTCCTACCTGGATGAACTGGCATGATCTCACCATTAGAGTCCCAGAAAGGTAGAAGAAACTGTCAGGGGAACTAACACAACAGCATCTGCCAGTACACAAGGTTTCAGTTTATGTGGACTGACTCTTTAAACAATTTTATATACAAAGTTGTACGGAAGGATTGTAATATACATAGTGATGTTGACCTTTTAGTTCATATCAATTTCACACCATGGAAATATCGAACTAGTTGAAACTCTGACCCTTACAATTTTTTTACTCCATATCTATGTAAAATCTACATCAGCAATTTTTACTGACTGTATTTTTTTTTCCCCAGGACTTGTTTTCTCGGTGACAGATAAATCTAGTAGCTCCAACATGCGCTTGGACACTTTGACCTTCTTAAATGTGATCCTCAACAGCCATCCTCCTGAATGCTTTCAGCCACACCTACCAGCCCTCTTACCCCCTGTAGTCACTTGTATATCAGACCCTTTCTATAAAATCACCTCTGAAGCTCTGCTAGTGGCACAACAGCTGGTGAGAGTGATCCAGCCTCTGGAGCAAGTGAAGAGCTCTCAACCTTCACCCTACACAAAGGAACTCTTTGCTGCCACGCTGAAAAGGCTGCAGGCCACGGACATAGACCAGGAAGTGAAGGAAAGGGCATTGTCCTGCATGGGCCATCTTATCAGCCATCTTGGTGACCAACTTGGCAACGACCTTCCCCCCACCCTTCAACTCATCCTAGAACGTCTCCGCAATGAAATTACGCGGCTTACTGCAGTGAAAGTTCTCACTCTTATAGCAGGCTCTCCACTCAAGATTGACTTGCGGCCTTTGCTGAAGGACGCCCTGCCCATTCTGGCTTCTTTTCTGCGGAAGAATCAGCGAGCTCTGAGGCTCAGTACTGTTTCTTCCCTTGAAGTACTAGTTAGGAATTACAGTGACTGCCTAAAACCCCCCATGTTGGATCCAGTAGTGGCAGAGCTTCCGTCACTACTTGCCGAATCAGATATGCACATAGCTCAGGTTACTATTGACTTTTTAACCACCTTGGTGTCGGCTCATCCTGCCTCTCTTTCCAAGCTTAACACTCAGACCCTACCCCAACTTTTTCAACTTGTGCACTCCCCTCTGCTCCAAGGAGGAGCCCTTACCTCCATTTTGTCTTTATTAAGAGCATTGGTTACTAGCCATACTCCCCATCTTGGTTATAGTGATCTCCTCAAGCAACTGACAGGGCCAGTGACCTCTTCGGGGTCTACACCTCACAAACAGGCCTTCACCTCTGTGGCTAAGTGTGTGGCTTCCTTAGCCAGTGCTTGTCCTAAAGAGTCCAATTCATCCATCAGCCAGTTCATACAGGATGCTAAAAGCCCTCGTGCTGGTGACCATTTGAAAGTGTTGGCCTTCTTGACCTTGGCAGAGGTGGGACGTGAGAGGAACCTTGGAAGCCAGCAGAAGGAGTTGAAAAGTGTGATCCTAGAGGCCTTTGCATCCCCCAGTGAAGAGGTGAAGTCTGCAGCTTCCTATGCTCTAGGGAATGCTTGTGTTGGAAGCCCAGCAGATTTCCTGCCATTCTTGCTGCATGAGATTGGAGGACAGCTGCGGAGGCAGTATCTTCTGCTACATTCACTGAAGGAAGCCCTGACATCCCTACCCAGTGAGGAGCTAAGGCCATACCAGGAGGATGTATGGAAACTCTTGCTTGAGCACTGTGAAGCCACGGAGGAAGGCACCAGAAATGTGGTGGCAGAATGTCTTGGAAAACTATTACTGGTGGATCCATCACAGCTTCTACCAAAACTATGTAAACAGCTAAAATCAGGTGAGGCATAGAGACCAAATTGATGCTGTAGGGGTATGTACAAACGGACAAAAAAAAAAAAAAAAATTGTTCTTTACAAAATAATCAATTATAAAATAAGCAAGATTTTTTTTTGCTAAAGTGTATGTCTTGGCAGAATTTACAAAAAAATGTAATACCTCTGTAATTCATGGACATTTCCCCATGTTTTATCTCTCTAAAAACACACGTACAGAAAAAGGAATATAATGGGACTTTACTGGTACAGTATCGGAGAGACTCCTATTTATAAATTTACATATTTATTTGAAATACATCTTACAATGACATTATTTAAAAACAATACATTGCTAACCAGCCCAAATAGTAACGGCATTGTCTTCTACAACATAATATCCTCCAAAGGTCAACGCGTTTCGCTTATTCGCTTCTTCAGGACCAAAAAATTGGAGGCGAAGAGATCAAATGCCTTAGCTAAAAAAATATAGGTATACACACGTACATCATTAATCATACAGTAAAAGTTTCACAAAACACCATAAACCTTAAAAAGAAACTGTTCTTTGCAACCTCACATATCGACATAGACGGTAATACAGGGCAACAGCACCCACACAGGAGGTCAACAAAATGGTCTCGAGTGAGCATTCATATCCAAAGCCAAAGCTGAGTGGTGGAGCTGAGGTGGTGGAGCTGAGGTGGTGGTTGCCTGGCAGTGCTCTGTTTTACCGCTGTTTGCCGTAGATAATATTGTGAAGCCATGTTGCGGATTCTAGTGTGGGCGCGCATGCGCTGTGCGCGTTTTGATTATGGATGTGCTGCACTTCTGCCCTGTGCTTGATCAGGGCGGAAGTGATGTAGGATTTGCATTGCGATATTTGTGGATTGCTTACATCCTGTGTTTGATCAGGGCTACATTTTTTGTGGTTTGTGGATGTGGTTTACTTACATCCTGTGTTTGATCAGGGCGGAAGCAATGTAGGATTTTGTATGCGTGATCACGTTTGTGGACGTGGTTTACTTCCACCCTGTGTTTGATCAGGGCGGAAGATACAGTATATAGTATTTTGTATGCGCGATCTGGTTTGTGGATGTGGTTTACTTACATCCTGTGTTTGATCAGGGCGGAAGCAATGTAGGATTTTGTATGTGCATGTGCGATCTCATTTGTGGATGTAGTTTACTTCCACCCTGTGTTTGATAAGGGCGGAAGTGATGTAAGGGATTCATGATGTGTTTCTGGTGGATGACGCCATTTAAACATCCCGCCTGTTTTTGGCGCCATTGAAAAGCACATACGGCGGGCGGATTTTGACATGGAGTGATTTAGAGGTATGAGACATATTGGTTGACAAGATAGACAGAGGAGATATTGGTGGATTCCTGAGCATGGCTTTCTTTGTTTTATTACAGGAGCCACTAACAAAGAAGATATCTTGTATTGATATATGTGGTCATCCTCAAACTTAACTGAGCTCCTGGTCCCCCCCCATCCTCTCCATCACTACTAACCATGCCACCATCACTCCCACCCCCACTTGCCAAGGTCCTGGGTGTCACCCTGGACTCCCACCTCTCCTTCCTACCCCATGTCCAAGTGCTCTCAAGATCATGCAAGCTCCACCTCCACAACATCTCCAGGATACGTACATTCCTAACCCCAGACACTACCAAACTACTCGTTCACTCCCTCATCATCTCACGCCTGGACTACTGCAACTCCCTCCTCACCGGCTTACCCAAACGAACGCTAACCCCACTCCAGTCGATCATGAACTCGGCGGCGAGACTCATCCACCTCACTAACCGCTCCACATCCGCAACCCCCCTCTGCCAATCACTTCACTGGCTCCCGATTGCCCAAAGCATCAAATTCAAACTACTAACCCTGACCTACAAAGCCATCCACAATGCTGCCCCAACCTACTTAACCGACCTGATACCCAAATACTACCCTACCCGTGCCCTTCGCTCCTCTCAGGACCTCCTACTCTCTAGCTCCCTGATCTCCTCCTCCCACGCCCGACTGCAAGACTTCTCCAGGACCTCCCCCATCCTCTGGAATTTCCTACCCCAATCCATCAGACTGTCACCCACCCTCACCACCTTCAGGCGCACCCTGAAGACCCACCTCTTCAGGGAGGCCTACCCCTCCCTCACCTAACATCTGACCTCCACTCCTCCCACCACCTCATCCCCCACAGCCACTTCCTCGTGTACCACTTTCCCCTCCCTCCTAGATTGTAAGCTCGAAAGAGCAGGGCCCTCGAACCCCTCGTGTATCGCACTGTCTCTGTCTTGTCTCATGTCTTGTCCCCCTCCCTTTGTACAGCGCTGAGCAAACCCTTTGGCGCTATATAAATACTGTATAATAATAAGAATAATAATCTAAAGGAGCGGGTTGATATCACGAAATATTCAGGCTTGGCATTGGACCTTCTATGCACCTTCTCTTGCCTTATTGGTAGGAGTGTTAGGTAGGTGTTTGGGAAAGACTTGACGGATTTTTTTTGTTGAAATCCTTTAGAAATGGATAATTCCATATTGATTTTCATGTATTGTTGTATTCAGATTGTATCTTTGAACGCATCTATGGAATATACCTTGTATGGATTAATCTACATATGAACACGTCCACTACTTGTCCCCTGATTAAGTAAGTGACTTATTGTTGCTTGTGGTTGGGATTCACCATCCCTCTCCCCCTTCTTTATCTCCCCCTTCATTGGGTTTGTCTTGGAATAGGATACCATTTGACTTGGGACGTTGGGAAGGGCTTTGGATATGAATGCTCACTGGAGACCATTTTGTTGACTTCCTTTGTGGGTGCTGTTGCCCCGCATTACCATCTACGATATGTGAGTATGCGAAGAACAGTTTCTTTTTAAGGTTTATGGTTTTTTGTGAAACTTATACTGTATGAATAATGATGTACGTGTGTGTATATCTATATTTTCTTAGCTAAGGCATTTGATCTCTTAGCCTCCAATTTTTGGGTCCTGAAGAAGCTAATAAGTGAAACGCGTCAACCTTTGTAGGATATTATGCTATAGAAGACAATGCCGTTACTATTTGGGCTCGTTAGCCATGTATTTATATTTAAATAATGTCATTGAAAGATGTATTTCAAATAAATATGTCAATTTATAAATACGAGTCTGTCCGATACTGTACTGGTAAAGTCCAATTATGTTCCTTTTTTCCTTTTTCTGAATTGTTTATTAGGGATGAGGTACATATGCAGTCTATAACACAATATTAGCACACGTACAGAATAATACCTGTTGGTCGGAAATACGGTGAGCTTCTATCTTCCTGCAGTGTACTGACAACGCTGCTTCTGCCGCACTGAAATCCCAAGTAGAGTTGTCAGCCTTGACTGAATTGTCCCCAATTCTCCATAAAATAATAAGATGTGTTTTGTAGTCCATAGAGGAGAACAGAAATGGGTTGGCAGCACTGCTTAACCCCTTGACGCCGAGCGCAAGCAAATATGCGGCCTCTCGATGTCTGGGCCTTGATGCCGACCGGCCGCATATTTGTGTGCAATTAGAAAATACATATGTGCTGAAAGCGTGCGCCCTGCGCGCTCCCAGTACATATGTCCGTGACTCACAGAAAGGTCTTGATCTCCCCTTTCGATTGGGATTATTATTATTATTACTACGAGTTTATATAGCGCCAAAGGGTTTGCTCAGCGCTGTACAATAGAGGGGGGGACAATACATGGCACAGTACAACAACAACAAACAACGTACGAGGGGTAAGAGGGCCCTACTCTTTCGAGCTTACAATCTAGGTGGGAGGGGGTAAAGGTACAGTAGGAAGTGGCTGAGGGGAATGAGGGGTGGGAGGAAAGAGGGAGAATGGCCGTTAGGTGAGGGTGGGGTAGGCTTCCCTGAAGAGATGGGTTTTGAGGGAGCGCCTGAATGTGAAGAGGGAAGGCGACAGTCTGATGGATTGGGGCAGTGAGTTCCAGAGGATGGGGGAGGACCTGGAGAAGTCCTGCAGTCGTGCATGGGAGGAGGAGACCATGGAGCAGGATAGAAGAAGGTCCTGTGAGGAGCGAAGGGTACGGGTAGGGCGGTACTTGGGGATCAGGTTGGTGAGGTAGTCAGGGGCAGTGTTGTGAATGGCTTTGTAGGTCAGGGTTAGGAGTTTAAATTTGATGCGTTGGGCAATTGGGAGCCAGTGGAGGGAGAGGCAGAGGGGGGTGGCGGAGGTGGAGCAGGTGGTGAGGTGGATGAGTCTAGCCGCTGAGTTCAGGATGGTCTGGAGCGGGGAGAGCCTGCACTTGGGTAGGCCGGTGAGAAGAGAATTACAGTAGTCAAGGCGTGAGATGATGAGGGAGTGTACTAGAAGTTTGGTGGTGTCAAGGGTGAGGAAGGTACGTATCTTGGCAATGTTGCGAAGATGGAGCCTGCATGTGTTTGTGTGAGTGATTTGACATGAGGTTGGAAGGAGAGGTTCGAGTCAAGAATGACGCCAAGGACTTTGGCTTGCGGGGCGGGAGTGATAGTGGAGTTGTTGGTGATGACGGATAGGATGGGGGGGGGGGGTGTGGCAGGGGGAAAGACGAGGAGCTCGGTTTTGGAGAGGTTGAGCTTGAGGAAATGTAGCGACATCCAGTCTGAGATGTCATTTAGGAGGTGAGTGATGCCGGCGGAGATAGTGGGGGTGAGGAGAGGGGTGGAGAGGTAGATTTGGGTGTCGTCCGCGTAGAGGTGATAGTTGAAGCCGTGAGAGTGTATGAGTTTGCCCAGGGAGGAGGTGTAGATGGAGAAGAGAAGGGGTCCAAGGACAGAGCCTTGGGGGACCCCAACAGAGAGGGGGAGGGAGGGAGGGGGAGGTGGCACCATTGTAGGTGACACTGAAGGAGCGTCGGGATAGGTAGGATGAGAACCAAGAGAGAGCAGTATCTCTGATGCCAAGGGAGAGTAGTTTATTAAGGAGGAGGGGGTGGTCAACTGTGTCGAAGGCCGCAGAGAGGTCCAGGAGAAGGAGGACAGAGTAGTCGCCCTTGGCTTTGGCATTTAGTAGGTCGTTAGTGATTTTGAGGAGGGCAGTTTCAGTGGGGTGTAGGGGACGGAAGCCGGACTGTAGTGGGTCAAGGAGGTTATTGTCTGTAAGGTGGGAGCTTAGGTGATCGTAGACTATGCGTTCAAGGAGCTTGGAGGTGAGTGGCAGCAGGGAGATGGGTCTGAGGTTGTTGGGGTCCGCGGGATCCAGGGAGGGCTTTTTGAGGATGGGGGTGATATGCGCGTGCTTTAGGGGGGAGGGGAATACGCCAGTAGAGAGGGAGAGATTGAAGATGTGGGTGAGGGAGCGGGATCTTTTCCGATCATGTGACCGCCTTGACGGTGAATCACGGCGGTCAATGACCCTAAAACCCCCGACCACTGAAACTCTTAATGGGCCGGGAGGTGCGAAGTGGTTAAGGATTCACTGCAGCAGAAGCAGTGTTGTCAGCCCACTACAGGAGATTAGGTACTTAGTGGATTTCTGGCAAGATCAACTGCCATTTTTCTGTTCTTGCAGCATCGTTAAAGTGCCAGAACATGGGAAAATGTTGATGTATTGCAGCAGTAATGGCACAGGTTTGTCCTGTGCCCGAGGAAATGATGCAAAACTGCACCCCTTTCCTAAAGCATGCCATAGAATATATTTACCACCTTGTGTCCATTCTTTGCCCCCTTGTTCCATGGCCCATGGTTGGCATGGAGTGTGCACTGCCCCTGCATAGCCAATCACTTGCTTTCTTGTGGCTAGAACGCAGTTGCACATGCACGCAGTGTGTTTTTGTGTCAGCTGTGAGCAGATGGGGTGGAGGATGGGTATGTTGGAGCACTGTGTAACAGCGAGATGAGGGGGTGCCCTCCCCTACAGCTGCGCTCTGGGTGGTTGCCCCTACTGCCCACCCCTTGTCACGGTTCTGTATTGCTGTATGTACTGTATATAGTTTTTGTTTTGCTCAGTCACACACTTTATTCATTCTTAACCCCTTCCCGCCAAGCCCCAGCATCCCTTTAATAGGGTCTATATGCCCAGGAGGACAAGAAGGAATGACCAGTCACGTGACTGCTGAGATTGACTGTCACAGTAGTCACATGATTGAAAGCCAGTCCCCCCAGCTCTAAATCATTAGTACAGACTGAGAGCTATCTTTGGTCATTCAATACATAAAGCTTTGCCACCCATAGACACGTATGTGTGGCGTGTGGACATTAAAGCCCACTCCCAGGGCCGTGGATAAGGGATACCACCAGTCCTCCTGTACGGGGCCCAGGCCAACAGGGGGGTCCAGGCAGCTGGGTGATTCGGATGTGGGTAGGGAGGGTGATTGGCACAGCAGGGGGGCAATTACTGGAACCGATCCCCTGCATGCCTCACTCTGCAGCAGCTGAAAGCTTCTTCTCCCTTCCCTCTTGCTGGCTTTCAGCTGCTGCAGAGAGAGGCATACAAGGGATCGGTTCCAGTAATTTCTTCCTGTTGCACCCTTACTCTCCCTGTGCACCATACATTTTCCCCTGCTGCCCTGGCCCTCCTATGTGCCCCCACAGTGCTGCCGGCTTCCTTCCTCTCCTTCCCACTGGCAGCTGCACACAATAGGATGGATCTTAGCTATTCTTGTAACATGTTCTCTTTCTTTGCTTTTGTCCTTGACAGGTTCTGCTCATACTAGAAGTACTGTCATTACAGCCATCAAATTCACCATATCTGACCAGCCAGCTCCCATTGACAGCTTGCTGAAGAATTGTATAGGTGAGTGGACAAATCCACAATAGGCAATTCGAAAACTATTCATACGATCTGAAAAATATATTTTTTTTTCTTGCCTTCATCACCGTTTCCTGCTGCTAAATCCTTCAATTTATGAAATATTTGAAACTGAGAACTTTGATGCTGTAGTGTAGTGAAAAAAAAAAGTGATTAAAAAGTAAAAAATTGGAAAAATCATCACAAACTGGTAAACAATACTCCACTTTGAGGACCTTTGCTGCTCTAGCTTTCAGGTATAGATAAATCAGAGTGACTTGCGAGCCACAGGTGTGATAATTACTAGAGGATCGCAAACATGAAACACATAACTACAACTGTGTTAGAAATATCTACAAATATATGTTGCGCTCCTAAATACTTCTCAATAAATAATTAAATTATTATTATTAAATTAATTCAAATTATGATACAAATAACTAATAAAAGTGTATAAATACCAAAAAAATATTTAAATAGATAATTTCAACTAATCAATCTCCTCCAAATAAAATATCAAAATAATTCCACATAAAATACTCCTCTGAAAAAATACTTTACCAAGTGCTCATAAATCATTAGTGACATGATGTACTTACTAATACCCTCAACTTCATTTATATTCACAATACCCTCATTTAATATAAACAAAAAATAATAAACCAACTAATAACACTCAACTAAAACGCATTTAAAAATGATCCCCATAAACAAAAATAACCAAATGCTCATACATAACCAGTAGTGATTAGTATGAATCCAAACATCATCAAAATAATAGTCCCATTGAATAAACAATTGTTTGTATATAGTGTTGTATATCCCTATAATTGTTTGTATATCCCTGAGGGGATAATCAGCCACCAGAGGATACATCCATTACTGCTAAAGGAAGGATCTCCCAATTTTACCAGCAAAAGTATATGTCCAGCAGGTTCCAGGGAAAGTGAACCGAAAGCATCAAAGGAGGTGAGCGCACATCTTCACTATTTGAAGGATTCACAAAAGTCACAAATTGAGGAACAACAAGCGCCAAGTCACTATATACAAACAATTGTTTATTCAATGGGACTATTATTTTGATGATGTTTGGATTCATACTAATCACTACTGGTTATTTATGAGCATTTGGTTATTTTTGTTTATGGGGATCATTTAAATGCGTTTTAGTTGAGTGTTATTAGTTGGTTTATTATTTTTTGTTATATTAAATGAGGGTATTGTGAATATAAATGAAGTTGAGGGTATTAGTAAGTACATCATGTCAATAATGATTTATGAGCACTTGGTAAAGTATTTTTTCAGAGGAGTATTTTATGTGGAATTATTTTGATATTTATTTGGAGGAGATTGATTAGTTGAAATTATCTATTTAAATATTTTTTGGTATTTATACACTTTTATTAGTTATTTGTATCATAATTTGAATTAATTTAATGGTAATAATTTAATTATTTATTGAGAAGTATTTAGGAGCGCAACATATATTTGTAGATGCTCTAGCTTTCAGCTTTATTTTAAATAATGGAAGGTTCTTGGTTTAAAATTGTAAATTGTAGGCAAGCAAAAATGTTGGCAAGCCTTTAACTTAAATGGTAAAGTTATTTCAAAATGCAATGTTCTGGCTTTTTGTAGTTACAAAGGTCCAAAATATGAAGAGCAATTTACAACAGCTTCATAATTTGCTTGTGGTCTCTGTTCACTTTGCATATTCTTCGCCATACACAGGAGACTTCCTAAAACCCCTGCAGGACTCCGACCCCAACGTGCGACGTGTGGCCCTGGTCATGTTTAATTCTGCAGCACACAATAAGCCGTCTCTGGTCAGGAAGTTGTTGAACAGTGTTCTCCCTCCTCTGTACAATGAGACGAAGGTCCGGAAGGAGCTGATCCGAGAGGTGAAGATTCTTTAATAACATTGCTCTCATTTCCCAACTTGGAAAGAGTAGGGACGAGGTTTTGGTTTCCACTTCAATGGGTTTGATGGGATAGATATAATGATTAAAAAAAGTTAGGCACGCACCAGTTAGGGCTATTATCCCTGATTAAAACTGTCCCGCTGCTGGCCAATTTTACACTGTTATATCCTCTGCAGTATTGTAAATTCTTGTAGAAAAAGCCCCAGCTTGTGCTCTTTGATCTAATAAATTTGGGCCTAGGCTTGCTATTTTAAATTGTCCTACTGCTGACCAATTTTACACTACTGTGTCATGTTCAGTCTCTTTATTCTTGTATGCTGTCACTGAGACTGCCCATGAAAATCACACTGTTCTGTAACACCACATACAGTTTCGAAGTGATTGTAAAAGTACAATTTAAAAAAAAATAAATAAACATGTCATACTTAAGAGCTCTGTGCAACAGTTTTGCACAGAGCAGCCCTGATCCTCCTCTTTTGGGGTCCCCCACTGGTGCTCCTGGCTTCTCCGGCCTGCTTTAGGGGCACTCCTGTAGCCGGATCCCAATCTGGGATGCATGTGTCTATTAAAACACAGCACAGCCTGGCCCCACCCCCGTTCCCATCTCACAAGATTTGATTGACAGCAGCAGAAGCCAATGTCCCCTGAAGCTGCCTCCATGTCCTGTGAGGAGAGTGATGCTGCTTTTGGGCACAGCGCTGGATCAAGATTGGGCTCACGTAAATCTTTAGAGGGGGTGGGGCTGATCACAGGTTTTTTTTTTACCTAAATGCAGAGAGAAACCTTCTGCCTTTCCAAACAGTTTAGTGCATCTCCCAAGCATTTGTATACTTTCAGTGTTGCCTTCGAAGACCCTCTTTCCTGCTGTATAGGTTTTCTTTTTCTTTTTTTTGTATTGACACATCTCTCCCATGACAATGCCCAGTAGATTGCTTAATAGCCAAAAAATGGCCCAAATTTAACAGGATATGTCACCTCGCTTAGATTTAAATGGGATTCACCTGTGAGTTGAGGTTTGCTAAAATCGGAGCAAGATTTGCCAAATCATTAGCCAATCGACCTTGGACAGATTAACCCACCACTAATAAAAAAAAAAACTGTGGGGGAGAATCTGGTGCAGCTCTGCATGGTGGCCAATCAGCTTCTAACTTCAGCTTGGTCAATTAAGCTTCGACAATAAAACCTGGAAGCCGATTGGCTATCATGCACCAGATTTTGCACTCCCAAGTTTTAGTAAATCGACCCCTGTGCTTCTTATGGGCAGCAACAAATCAGATGTGCCCCTTCACTTCCCATACTGCTTTGTGACATTGAAAGGGAGAAGCTGATTTGGTTTGACAACTTTTCCCGAATAGGCTTTTGGTGTACTTACCTTGATTTTATTTTGAAGGTGGAGATGGGCCCCTTTAAACACACAGTAGATGATGGATTGGATGTCCGGAAAGCTGCCTTTGAATGCATGTACACCTTACTGGAGAGCTGCCTGGACCAGCTGGATATTTACGAGTACCTGAACCACGTGGAGGACGGCTTGAAAGACCACTATGACATTCGGGTCAGTACCATGACTTCTCTAGTAAGGAGTTCTATAAGTTGTAATGCTGAATTTTCAGTTCAGTAGAAAGGTGTTCATATTAAAATCATTGCAGTTCTCCCATAGAAACTGGTTATAGCAGATGCAATGGGGGGGGGGGGGGGGGTAATTACGAAAACTGGAGAGTGAAAAATCTGGTGTGGCTCTGCCAGTGGCATCCTGAGGCAGGTGCGGGGGGTACCTACAGCACGGGGTGACACCGGACCCGCTCCACGAAAAGGTAAGTTGGAAAGCAAGCCGACAATCGCCACAGGATGGATCGGATCTACGGATTGGGGAGCATAATGGATCGGAGTCCGATCCATTTATGCTCAATCCGCAGATCCGATTCATTCTGCGGGGATCGTCGGAGGGGGTGTCACCAAGTGTTACCGCACCGGGTGACACCAACCCTTGGGACGCCCCTGGGCTCTGCATAGAAAGCAAACAGCTTCCAGGTTTTATTGTCAAAGCTTAATTGGACAAGGTGAAGTTAGAAGCTGATTGGCTACCGTGTGCAGCTGCACCAGATTCTGAATGCTCCAGTTTTAGTAAATCTCCTCCAATATGTTGTTACAAAGAAGAGCTTAAGCTTGGGTTCACACTTGTGCGGTGCCGTAAATCCCATGTGATTCGCACCGGAACCGCACCGCATTCCTCTACATGTGATTTGTATGTGGTGTAATTAGAGTCGTACATTTTGTATGGCTCTATTCACACCTCACCTGCACCAAAAACGTGCAGGACCCTTTTTGTTGGTCCACACTATAATTGGATCACATGGGTAGTCACACCTGTGACGGGAGCAGGGGTGGACTGACCATTTGGAAACTCGGGCACTGCCCGAGGGCCCGGGGTCAGTAGGGGGCCCCATGAGATGCTCTCATAGGCTTTTTTGAGTTTGGGCAAGGACACAGGGGCCCCATGAACCCCTATTGCCCGGGGGCCCCATGAGTTGTCAGCCCGCCCCTGGATGGGAATCACTTTGGGTGGGGGGCCCATGGAACCCAGCCCACTTTGGAGAGGTGGGGAGACCCCTGTCTCAGCTCCCCATATCCCTCTTATGTGTAAGTTACCCTTTGCCTGTTAGGGGTACAGGGTGATCTGTCCTAATATTGGGGGTGGGGGGTTGTTGATTTGTTTAATGCCATGTGGTTGCATCCCATTGTTCTATTATGTGTCTTGCTTGGGAGCAAACTATTATGGGATGTATGTGTTTATGGGTATTGGCTTGGTGGGGGGTGTCTCCAGCAGCCCTCCCTCGTGATGGGGCTGTCTGTTGTGTCTCTTGTTACTAAATGTAGATTGCCCCGCCCTGTGTCATTATCCAGGGAGGGGGGACTGTCTCCTTGAATGTATATATCTTGTATCTGTGTTAAAATAAACTAGTCTACTTCCTGGTTTACTTCAAGACTGGTGTCGCCTAGTCTTGTATGGTCGGCTGTGGTGTCTGTTGTTGGTGTTCGGACGGGGAAGTGGTATTCTAATGGAAGTGCCCAAGTGCAAATTGGGTCGGTTCCGTTACAACACCTATGCGTTCCGATTCTGCACATCGCACCGCGTTTTGCGGACCGATTTCAGGGTGTTGTTAACTTAACATACACACCCACATCGGTTCGCATGAATGGGGTGCGATTGTGATGCGGTGCGGAATTCGCACTGAAAACGCTGCAAATTCTACACCGCATCAGTGCGAACCCGGGCTAAAGGTTTTCTTAAAAGAACAAAAGATGCATGAGGTGTATGACTGACCATTCGAACACTCGGGCACTGCCCCATGAAATGCCCCTGGTACCTTTTATAGACTTTTTTAGGGTGTGCTTTGTGTGTGGGCAAGGACACAGGGGCCCCATGATCCCCTATTGCCCGGGGGCCCCATGAGTTGTCAGTCCGCCCCTGGTATGGCCACCTCTTTCCAAATGAATGGGCTTCCCACACGTGTGCTAATGCAATGCCTAGAGGCTCATAAGGTTACCCATAGCTTTCTATAGAAATCAGGTGCAATTTTCCATGTCGACCAATAAAATGCCTTCTTTCATTTGAAAACTGACAACGCTAACACTAACTTCAAAGCAAAATGATGCAAGCGCAGACGTCAGGTGCAGGGTGTCTTCAATGTATGTACGTGACAGGTCTTCTTTACTAAATGTACTCTGATTTCAGCACATTATGATCTTTTGCAGATGCTAACCTTCATCATCCTCACTCGTCTGTCCACTCTGTGCCCCAGTGCAGTACTCCAGCGCCTAGACCAGCTGATCGAGCCCCTACGTGCCACCTGTACTACTAAGGTATGTAATATATGCTCCATGTTCACTTACCACACTAAGCCTGACATCAGAGGACATAAGCCAAGCCCCAGGCTACTGGATGACACCACAATAATCCACTGCACTCTCCGTGTATTAAAGGAAAACTCTACTGAAGAAACATGTAGGCCATGGGTGCTCAAGCTGTGGCCCTCCAGCTCTTGTGGAACTACAAGCCCCATCATGCTTCTGCCTTTGTGAGTCATGCCTGTTACTGTCAGCCTTTCAATGCCTCCAGCAGCCCTCCCTCCTGATGGGATTTGTAGTTCTGCAACACCTGGAGGGCCACAGGTTGAGCACCAACGATGTAGGCTGTTGTTGACTTGTCTTTCTGGAAAGACTAATTGTCGGTCATGCTGATCGAACAACCCCAATATTTGAAGACACTGAGCTGTGGAAAGCTTGCATGTTGACTCACCGACGACCTTACTTGCATGTTTATCTTGGAACTTTAATTTATAATGTTTTGAAGGCAGTGGAAGCCAAGAAATTACAGGCTATAGGCCAACGTTTCTCAACTAAGGTGTAATTTGGGTTAGCACAGGGTGCCATGAGCAGATGAGCAGGGAACGCAGTTGGCTCTGGATCAGCCTCATGAGTTGCCATAGGCAGGCAGGCCAGCCAATTACACTCTAGAGCCAAGATGCACAGCATCATTTGTTGCTATGGTGGTTGGCCAGCTAATGGGGGACCTTGCCCCACCATGATGCTGCTCCAAGGCAGGGGTCATGCAGGGACCCCAAGCATTGCCTTTGTCCAGACCTGCTCCGCCTTAACCCTCTGCTGCTGGAGCTGTAAATTAGGGCTCTGATGGGATGAGGGGACTCTTATGTGATAAGGGGATTCTGTGATGGGGGACTTCATGGGGAGATCTACGGATTGAGCATAATGGATTGCCCGTTACACCATCATAGTCCCACTATAAGTCACTGATCACCACCATTACTAGTAAAGTGTCTGCACGGTTCAGTATCTTGGTCACAATCAGAAATATTAGTATTATACAGTATTTATATACCGCCAACAGTTCGCTCAGCACTGTACATTACAGTGGGAGACAATACACGAGACAGTACAATAACAATACAATGCGATACACGAGGGGTTTGAGGGCCCTGCTCCTTAAAGCTTACAATCTAGGAGGGAGGGGATAGTGGTACAGGAGGAATAGCTGTGGGGGATGGAGTGGTAGGAAGAGTGGAGGAGATCGGCAATTAGCTGAGGGCAGGGTAGGCTTCCCTGAAGAGATGGGTTTTCAGGGTGCATCTAAAGGAGAGGAGAGTAGTAGGTGATAGTCTGATGCATTGGGGTAGGGAGTTCCAGAGGATGGGCTAAGCCCTAGAGAAGTCCTGGAGGCGGGCATGGGAGGAGGAGACCAGGGAAACTAGAGAGAAGGAGGTCTTGTGAGGAGCGGAGAGTACGTTTTGGGTGGTATTTGGATATCAGGTCGGTGATGTAGTTTGGGGGCAGTATTATGGACAGCTTTGTACGTCAGTGTTAGCAATTTGATCCATTGGCAATCGGAAGCCAGTGGAGGGATTGGCAGAGGGGGGGTAGCGGATACGGAGCAGTTGGTAAAGTGGATGAGTGTGGGCCGCAGTATTCAGGATCGACTGAAAGCGGGGATAGCCTGTGGGATACAACTATACAAGTGTCCCCAATAATATAGCCTCCCCAAAAAAAAAAGCAGTGTTAGCAGGATCAGCCACCAATCACTGCGAGCACTTGCAACATGCAGCAGAATACACTTTGGCCTAAATTTATGGAGAAATCTGATTTCATTGGATATGTTTTATTTCAGAAAGTAGAAAATATCTTTTTTTTTTTCAAAATGTTATTTTTTTTTTTATATAATAAAACACAAAAAAGCCCAGAGGTGATCGAACACAATAAAAAAAAAAAGCTATATCCGTCCTGAAAAAAAAAAGATCTAAAATTTCATGTGGGTACAGTGCTACATGACCAAGCAACTGCCAATTCAATTAGCGCAGTGCCAAATAGCAAAAAATGCCCTGGTCATGAAGGGGGTAAAAACCTTCTGGAGGTCAAGTAGTTAAACACTTCCACATACATTCACCAGACACTTTATTAGGTCCGACTTTTCAATTGCTTGATAACACAAATCAGCCAATCACATGGCAGAAACTCAATGTATTTAGGCATGTAGATGTGATGAAGACAACTTGCTGAAGTTCAAGCCAAACATCAGAATGGGGAAGAAATGGGATTTAAGTGACTTTGAACATGGCATGGATGTTGGCGCTGCTGGGATTTTCACACACAACAATCTCTAGGGTTTACAGAGAATGGTCCAAAAAAGAGAACATATTCAGTGAGCGGCAGTTGTGTGGAGGAAAATGTCTTGTTTGTCGATGTCAGAGGAGAAGGGGCAGACTGGGTGAATTTGGCGTAAACAACATGAAAGCATGGATCCATCCTGCCTTGTATCAATGGTTCAGTCTGCTGGTGGTGTCATGGTGTGGGGGATCCATCCTGCCTTGTATCAATGGTTCAGTCTGCTGGTGGTGGTGGTGTCATGGTGTGGGGGATCCATCCTGCCTTGTATCAATGGTTCAGGCTGGTGGTGGTGTCATGGTGTGGTGGGGATTTTCCATCCTGCCTTGTATCAATGGTTCAGGCTGGTGGTGGTGTCATGGTGTGGTGGATCCATCCTGCCTTGTATCAGTGGTTCAGGCTATCAATGGTTCAGGCTGGTGGTTTGGTGGTGTCATGGTGTGGTGGATCCATCCTGCCTTGTATCAATGGTTCAGGCTGGTGGTGGTGTCATGGTGTGGTGGATCCATCCTGCCTTGTATCAATGGTTCAGGCTGGTGGTGGTGTCATGGTGTGGTGGATCCATCCTGCCTTGTATCAATGGTTCAGGCTGGTGGTGGTGTCATGGTGTGGTGGATCCATCCTGCCTTGTATCAGTGGTTCAGGCTATCAATGATTCAGGCTGGTGGTGTTGGTGGTGTCATGGTGTGGTGGATCCATCCTGCCTTGTATCAATGGTTCAGGCTATCAATGGTTCAGGCTGCTGGTGGTGGTGGTGGGTGTCATGGTGTGGTGGATCCATCCTGCCTTGTATCAATGGTTCAGGCTTGTGGTGGTGGTGTCATGGCGTGTGTGGATCCATCCTGCTTTGTATCAATTGTTCAGTCTGGTGGTGGTGTCATGGTGTGGTGGATCCATCCTGCCTTGTATCAATGGTTCAGGCTGCTGGCTGGTGGTGTCATGGTGTGGTGGATCCATCCTGCCTTGTATCAATGGTTCAGGCTGGTGATGGTGGTGGTGGTGGTGTCGTCATGGTGTGGTGGATCCATCCTGCCTTGTATCAATGGTTCAGGCTGGTGGTGGTGGTGTCATGGTGTGGTGGATCCATCCTGCCTTGTATCAATGGTTCAGGCTGGTGGTGGTGGTGTCATGGTGTGGTGGATCCATCCTGCCTTGTATCAATGGTTCAGGCTGGTGGTGGTGGTGTCATAGTGTGGTGGATCCATCCTGCCTTGTATCAATGGTTCAGGCTGGTGGTGTGTGTCATGGTGTGGTGGATCCATCCTGCCTTGTATCAATGGTTCAGGCTGGTGGTAGTGGTGTCATGGTGTGGTGGATCCACCCTGCCTTGTATCAATGGTTCAGGCTGGTGGTGGTGTAATGGTGTGGGGGAGATTTTCTTGGCACTGGCAAGGTGTCCCTAATAAAGTGTTGGTGAGTGTGCAGTGCACTGAAAAACATTAATAGCAGATTGTCAGCCTTTCTCTAGCATGTCCAAAGTGTCCTAACACAAGACCCTCCACTGTCTTCCTCCAGGTAAAGGCCGGTTCAGTGAAACAAGAGTTTGAAAAACAAGACGAGCTGAAGCGCTCGGCCCCTGAGAACCATCAGTGCTCTCCTCACCATCCCGGAGGTGCAGAACAGCCAGACCATGGCGGAGTTCCTGTCGCAGATCAGAGCCAATCCAGAGCTGGCCTCCTTGTTCGAGAGCATCCAGAAAGACTCCATGTCCATGTGCAGCACAGAGATTATGGACCTGAGCTAAGAACTTCCAATGACTTATTAATGCAGATCTTATAGAGACTAACAAACTGACAGCTGTAAATCCTAAACGTCTGCCTACAGAGGAGCTACAGATGGACACAAAGCCATTGTTCCCTCAATGAGCGCAATCTAGAACAGCATTCTATAGGAGTGTTTCTGGCCCTGCCCCAGGTTTAAGATTGCTCAATTAAAGTGAACCTGTCATTTAGAGAAAAAAAAATGAAACACCTGCTTGTAGCACCCCACTAACCATTTCTGCACACCCCCAACTCGAAGTATGCAAATTTCAACTTCATGTCATATCTGCAACACACCCCACATTCTATAATGCAGTGCATGTTACCAGCAGACGCACACGCATTGCATTGTGGGGAACGCCGAGATCCAACTTGACACTAAAGCCATTTTTGCATCAGATTGCCTTTTCAGTTCTACCAACAGCTTCACTTTATTGAACACGTCCATGCTGGATCCAACCCCATGTTTTACATATTAGAGGTCTGTGCAAACCTTAAAAAAACAAAAGGTATCTTGCCTCCTGGGACTTGCAGTTCACCAGTAGCTGTAGGCTGCTATGTCTGAATTGAAGTGTAACTGAATTTTTTGTAGCGGATGAAATAAAGGTTCTATTGTTTGTGCCAATGTCTGTCTTTTTATTAGGTTGACTGTCGGCGGGGGGTTTGTCATAACCAGAGTATTTAAATTTAATCTCCGCAGACCTTGAACTAGCACAGGATACACGTGGTGGGCCACATTTTATAAATGAGCTGTGAAAGGCGGGTTGCAGTATGTGTAGCCTTACCGCTTTCTGGTATAATGAATTCCTTGGTGTTGAGGTTTTTGTTTTTTTTTTTTGGGTGATGATGCTCCAGAGACACCTAATAAATAAATACTGTAGTGAAGCGCTAAATACCATAACCTTATAATAAACAATGTGCGCCAATATGTGTTGCCAAACCTATGTGATCACAAATCTTTATAAATGATCAAAAACTCATAATAAATATATACAAAAACACTCAAATTTCAGAGCATAAATCACACTTTAAAGTAATACGTGCAAAAAATGTGACCAAACTATCAATAATACACATATATTTCACTCTGCAATAAATACTAATAAAGTGCAATAAATGATTAAGCAACCCCTTTCATAAGTTAAATACCACTCTTAACCACCTCCCGTCCGGCCGTTGTATATAAACGGCCGGACGGTGGCAGTGCAGGGTCGGGTGGCCGTTCATAAACGGCCTCCCCGCACCCTGCTTGTGCGCGCTCCCTGGGAGCACGCAGCACCGCGATCCGGTGCCTGCTGTGTCCTCCGGACACAGTGAAACACCGATCGTCGGACGGGACCTCTGTACGAGGTCCCGATCATGTGATCACGGATTGGCCAATCAGTGATCACATGCAAAGTAGTCAGCAAGATGTCACTTGTGACATCATTGCTTACTACGTGTGAAATCTGTGAATGATCAGAGAGGTCACATGGTACAGGGCTATTCACAACAGGCTTGTACCATGTGACAAGCTGTGACCAATCACAGCTCAGTCAGTACTTCTCAATGAGTGCAGGAATGCAGACAGAGAGAAAGAGAAATGATTGCTTTTACATCCTATATGGGTGTAAAAGCAATGTGTAAAGAAAAAAAAAAAAATCTTCATCACCCCCCACAAGTAGTACAGTGTCACCATGGTGACACTGTACTGCTAGGGCAGCAATGGGCAAACTACGGCCCGGCGGACCTATTAATCCGGCCCGCGGAGCTAGGCTCCCGCTAGGCTCCTCTCACAGTCCGCCCTGAAGACCGGTGTAGCATGAAAATCTGTCTCCTATGAGGATCTGTCCCCCTCGACGTATCTGCGCATGTGCCGGAGATCGCCGATCGGCTGCTAATGCCTGAAACTGGCACATGCGCAGATACGTCGAGGGGGACAGATCCTCATAGGAGACAGATTTTCATGCTACACCAGAACGGCGCGGGAACACGGCGAGAGGAACGCGCGGAGCAAAGGTAAGTGAATTGACACAGGGGGGACTTAATATGGGGATGAATTAATATGGGGGATGAATTACTATACGGGGGATGAATTACTATGGGGGATGAATTACTATAGGGGGGATGAATTACTATATGGGGGATGAATTACTATGGGGGATGAATTACTATAGGGGGGATGAATTACTATATGGGGGATGAATTACTATATGGGGGATGAATTACTATGCTTACTATGGGGGAATATTACTATACTTACTATGGATGACACATACACATCATTCATCTACTCTTGTCCGGCCCTCGGGTCCAATATATGAACCCATTGCGGCCCTCAAGTCAAAAAGTTTGCCCACCCCTGTGCTAGGGTGACAGTATGTAAAAAAAAAAAAAAAAAAAAAAAAAAAAAAATAATATAAAAAAATGTAAAAAAAAATGTTTAAAAAATATAATTTTTGTTATAAACTAATTTGGATTTTTTTTTTTTTACTAAAAAGATAACAGAATAAATTTTAGCAAAGATTTATGATGAAATATTATTTATTTGCAAAATTTTATTTAAAAAAAAACACTTTTTTTTTTCAAAATGTTTGGACATTTTCATTTACATAGCAAAAAAAATAAAAATCCCAGTGGTGAATAAATACCACCAAAATAAAGCCTTATCGGTTTCAAAAAAATGGTAAAAAATTCATTTGGGTACAGCGTTGCATGACCGCGTAATTGTCATTCAAAGTGTGATAGCGCTGAAAGCTGAAAATTGCCCTGGTCAGGAAGGGGGTAAAAGTGTCCGGTCTTGAAGTGGTTAAAGTGATAAGTGCAAACTGATCCAAATTAAATGAGTAGAAAAATCACAAAAGTTCATAAATCCTCTGTTAAAGTGCTCAAACAAAGAGTTCATGCAAGGTGATCAAAGTGATAATTGCTGTGTTGGTAACTATGCACTATATGGTCAAGTGTTTGAGGACATCTGACCATCACACCAATATAAGGGTTCACTGGACCTACCATCCCAAAACCATGGCCATTAATATATGGAGTTGGCCTCCCTCTGTGCTTATAACATCCTCTTCTCATCTGGGAAGTCGTTTTACAAGGTTTTAGAGTGTGTTTATGGGACTTTGTTGGTGTCAGCACACTTATCCTCTGTGACTAAAATGCCCCCTCACCTCCACTCTGTGACCCTAATGGGCCACCAAGCCTTCAGGATAAATCCTAGATCCTTCTCCAGCAGTGTCTGGTATCCTCTTCCTGTGGTTCACCTCTCAGGTAAATAATCTGACCTCCAGACCTCCCAGGATTGTATCACCAACTCTGCATATCACTCACCATGGATCATGGTAAAGTGAGAGAAAAGATCCTCATAGTGCAGTATGAAGTGGATAAAAAGGCTCTTTATTTAAAAAAAATGCCCACTCGTTCGATGTAGATTTTACAGCATAAAACCGCATACACCTCATGCCTGGGTGTACTGCATCCACAGTATACCACAGGAAGAGGATACCAGACACTGCTGGAGAAGGATCTAGGATGCAGAAAAAGAAGTCTACAGTACATTTGTAGGGTAGGAGAACAAGGTGGCTTCTCGGCCTTTTGGCTAAGATCAAGTGTAGTATCTGTTCTTATCAGTGTCCAGTAGGGGTGCTCCACAGTCATTCTAGCTTTGCGGGGATGACTGGTTGTATAGTACCCCTGCTGGTATGATGGGGTCCTGACGGCTAGTACAGAAATCGAGGCACCCACAGGCTGCTGGGGCCCGAGAGTAATTCCCCCGGGAAGACCGGAGGGGCCCAGTTCCTCCTGATTCAAACAGATCTACCTTGTCTGGCCAGGAGTCGGGAAGGCAGAAAGTCCGCGAACCAGTGCCCCCTGAGTGGTAGCCTCAGGGGTGCTCTTAGTAACACCTGGGTGTGGGACCCCACAGTGTGAAAAGGCACATGGTCACTGATTTACCACTTTTCCTGCACAGCGCTCTCAGGACCAGGCCTCCTGGCTAAGTTTGGGGCAATTTTTGCTACAGGCCTCAGGGCCTGGTCTGTGCACAATTTGGCACGACCACTTTTTTTATTTTTTATTTACCTCCCACGTTTTGTCACTTTCACTCTTATGTGTGTGTTTTATTTCCTCACAGGAAGGAGGGTGTGGGTCCTCGGGCCTGCCCTGAAGTCTAGGGGGAGGATGTGTGGCCTTTTGGTTCCTTCCTCCCCTGTCCCTACGGGGTTTTCTCTCCAGGAGAACCCCCTGGCCAAGTACTGTGTGGCTGGCCACAAGGAACGGTGGTCCACCAGGCCTTTTGACAAGGTGGACCAAATGGGAACCTTGTCCCTGTCAGGAGCTTTGTGCCCCGCAGGATCAGGGTAGAGGTCCATCCCCTTCGGGGGTAGGACAAAGCACACCCCTAAGTGCACTTTTTCATGTGGTGTTTTACACTTGCACTTTTTTTTGTGATTCACTTACGGGTTTTTTCGTTATTCGCACGTTTGCGGACTTAAAAAAAGAAAAAAGGAGAACAAGGTGGCTTATTCATACCTCAATCAGTATTAGAATTGCCGCGAATCAAGGTCAGAGATTGGTCGCTATTTAAAAAGGCTCCTTATACAATAAGTAGAATGTACAGTAATAGCAATGATCGATCTCAGTGTGCGCAATTATTTCCTTCCTTGTGTACTTGTGTGTGTTACACCATAATTAGAGATGAGCGAATCGAAACCAGGCGAAGTGGAATTCGATTCGAATTTCAGGAAAAATTCGATTCGCGTCGAATCCGAATATTAGCCTACTTCGGGTGCGCGAATCGGATTTTTCCCGATCAGCCGGCAAAAGTGTCCCTGCAGAGAGCTCCGCTATTTCTGACAGTTCCTTCACATGTACAGCGGTTGAAACATTGTATCTATTTGTTTCCATTTAGGATACAGATGTTTTTATTCGGAAACAGATACAATGTTTCAACCGCTGTAAATGTGAAAGTCAGAGAACTGTCAGAAATAGAGGAGCTCTGCAGATACACTTTTTGCTGGTTTGGACTTATTCTTATTTTCATCCTACTTCTTCTTCTTCTTCATCCTCATCCTCAGAAGAAGAAGAGGATGAGGATGAAGAAGAAGTAGGATGAAAATAAGAAGAATTCCAAGCCGGCAAAAAGTGTATCTGCAGAGCTCCTCTAAGTGTATCTGCAGAGCTCCGCTATTTCTGACAGTTCTGTGACATTCCCTCATACAGCGGTTGAAACATTGTATCTATTTGTTTCCTTCTCCTTCTTCTCATCCTTCTTCTTCTTCTCATCCTTCTTCTCATCCTTCTCCATCTTCTCATCCTTCTTCTCATCCTTCTCCATCTTCTCATCCTTCTCCTTCTCCTCCTCATCCTTCTCCTTCTCCTTCTCCTCATCCTTCTTCTTCTCCTCATCCTTCTCCTTCTTCTCCTCATCCTTCTCCTTCTTCTCATCCTTCTCCTTCCTCATCTCCAAGGGCATTTAAATTAAAGGTACAGTGTTCTGCACTAATTTAAAGGCTCTCTGAAGCCTAGAAACCCTTTTAATAAGTTAAATTCGTAGCGAATTAATTCGCATCGAATCGAATTTCTTCCTCAAATTCGGCGAATCAGCCGAATCGAATTTTTGAATAATTCGCTCATCTCTAACCATAATGAGCCACATGGTCCATTGTTGTACCCATAGCTTCTCTTAGTGATTATAGTAGCTGAATGAGCTACTTACTTCTTAATTGTGAATTGACCACTAACCATTCCATATTATTGACAGGCAAAAGTTGTTCTCATCAGAAAAGAGGACTTTGGACCACTGAGCACCAGACCAGGTCTGTTTTTCTTTAGCCCAGGTAAGACGCTTCTGAAGTGGTTTGTTGTTCAGGAGCGGCTTGACAAGAGGAATATGACATTTGAAGCCCATGTCCAGGATTCGTCTGTGTGTGGTGGCTTTTGATGCACTGACTCCAGCCTCAGTCCACTCCTTGTGAAAGTCCCCAACACTTTTGAATGGCCTTTTTCTGACAATCCTCTCCAGGCTGCGGTCATCCCTGCTGCTTGCGCACCTTTTTCTTCCACATAACTTTCTATTAATGTTCTTTGATACAGCACTTTGGGAACATCCAACTTCTTTTACAATTACCTTTTGAGGCTTTCCCTCCTTATGGAGGGTGTCAATGATGGTGTCAGGTCAGCAGTCTTTCCCATGATTGTGATTCCTACTGAACCAGACTGAGAGACCATTTAAAGGCTCAGGAACCCTTTGCAGGTGTTATGGCTTAATTATCTGATTAGAGTGGGACACTTTGAGCCGAGAATATTCCACCTTTTCACAATATTCTCATTTTCTGAGATTGTGGATTTGGGGTTTTCATGAGCTGTAAGCCATAATCATCACAATGATGACAAATCACGGCTTGAACTATCTTGCTTTGCATGTAATGAGTCTCATATATTAGTTTCACCTTTTAAGTTACATTACTGAAATAAATGAACTTTTGTACAATATTCTAATTTTTTGAGTTTCACCTGCATATCAGACCCGCCCTCGGACATCGCACTGTCCGCCATGTTGCTTTCAATTGTTCTACAGCTTGTAAGTAGGATCCTATTTGTGCAAATAAAGACGTTTTTGATACGTAATGCACCGAGGGGCATTTTTTTTTTCATGACCGTGTCTGGCGCTACACTTTGAGTTTACATTCAGATTGGGAGTCTCGGAAGTTCCATGCTTTGGGGCGCGATAGAGGAAGCCTGCCAGTGCTCTACATTATAAAGCTGGTTGGGACCCCCTGTAATTAAGGGGTCTCCATTTCTGGTAAGCCTCCATTCGTTACTTTGGTGGCGGTGTGCACTCTGGCGACCGGTTGAAGCAAGTTTATCCACAGTCACTTACAGCATCATCTACAATAATACCATCGATTGTTGAACTTTCTTCTCATACTTATGGACTGTGGTTTTTGTCTATATGGACGTTTTGTTAATTTTTGAAATTTTTCTAACCTTTATGTATATTTGAGGTGAATTTTTGCGCATTGAGATTTGACCTATCCTCAACCACTCTTCAGGTGTGAGGGTGGTCTTCGTAGGGCTCACAGACGATGCAGGAAATTTTAGGTTAATTTGACCACATATCCCGGTTTCTTGCACAATTTTATGATTATTATACTCAGGGGCGGACTGACAACTCATGGGGCCACCGGGCAATAGGGGATCATGGGGCCCCTGTGTCCTTGCCCAAACTCAAAAAAGCCTATGAAAAAGGTACCAGGGGCATCTCATGGGGCCCCCTACTGACCCCAGGCCATTGGGCAGTGCCCGAATTTCCAAAGATCAGTCCGCCCGATTGTACTCAATTTATTCAAATTTTTTTTCTCTCAAATTTTGATCGCCCTTCAGGTGTGAGGGTCTTCATAGGGCATATGTATGCATTTTAGTTTAACTATTACAATGTTTTATGTTTGATCGCTTTTCAGGTGTGAAGGTCTCTACAGTACTAACAAAGTGTTAAGGGTTCACCTAGCGCAGTATCCATTTGCACAGAGCAGCCTGGATCCTCCTTCTCAGGTCCCCAGAAGGCTCTCCTGGCTCCTTATGACAATTACAGTACAGTAGGGTGTGCTGGAAACTGGTAAAAACAGGCAGCGGTATTAAACCCAAACATTGCAGCTTGCCAATTCTTAGATGTGGTTGCTGCATTACTTTTCTTTTAGGCTACTTTCATTTGGTGATCCAGCCAGTGAGTGTTTTTCAACAAATCAAGCTCTCTTCCATATGTATCAGTTTACAGGGATGAGACAAACCATTTGCCACTGGCTGGGGTGCTTACAATAATCAGCTCTTATGTAAAATCTGGATTCTGTTCTGGATCCTGTTTGCTGTACCTGAAGCCAAACTCTGGCAAACTCTTTAGAATCAATTTGTTAGTGTATCTCAATCTGCTGGTAAATCTAACACTTCCCACCCTCCAGACTGACAATGCTGGTGTCCAAGGGTGTCTCTGTTAGGGGCGCTCTAAAAACAGGTGTTACTAGCCAGATCTCCAGATGAAAGGGGGGAAAAAAGAAACCAAAAAGAAAAAGTCCCCTATGTGATAGCACATGAGTGACAGTTCCTTTTTGTAGGGGGCAGGGGTTGGGGAGAGGAGCAGGGTATACAGAGAGAGGAGCAGGGTATACAGAGGCGCTCCCTCACTGGCTGTCACTATACGTCAGTGCCGATTTTTAAATGCAATTTCCGGCTTTTTTTTCCTTCTTCGCTATAGCTCACAGAATCAGCTGCCACTTTCCCCGGAGCTAAAAGAAACTTTCTTTTATCCGGGGAAAGAAACTAAAAGGAAACACTTACTTTTAGATGGGGGAAAGTGACTGCTAATTCTGTGAGCTAGTGAAGAAAAAAAAGCCGGTAATTACATTTAAAAATGCGGCACTGACATAGTGACAGCCAATCACTGTATACACTGCTCCTGTCCTGCCCTTTCTCCACCGCCCCTCCCACATCTGCAGTACACACAGTCCCCTGCATCGGCAGGATGCCGATAGGGCTATTTTTGGCCGATATGTTTCAGTGCATCCCTAGAACTTACACTTTAACATCCCACAAAAGGGAATAATGTCCTACTTCTGGTGAACCTACAGCATGTAATAACCCCGACACACAGCTTTCGGATCACCCCCCCCCCCCCCCCCCAGACACTACCACACACAAACACCAGAAAGTCTGAAGTTTACGTTTTCTTTTATTTAACAAAGTTGAAGAGGTTTATTCATTCTCCTCACTGCGCAGTCTGGCGTTGGGGTTTGTCACTTTGATGGCGAGCTGGGCTGCTCTTTCCACAATAGTCTTGCGGTTCTTAGAGGAGACGTTGTGAGCGATTTCAGCGCAAAATGACCTGCAGAAGGAAAAGATCATTAATGTAAAAAGCACACATAATACCAGATATATTACAAGTGGAGACTGCAAGCTACAGCAGAAGCCAATGAAGAGTTACAAGGAACTCTGAGAAGAAAATACAAACAGCTACAGGTGTACTCTGGTTTACAAACGCTTCGGTTAATATAATCCAATGAAAATAATGCCTCGGTTTACAAATTTATTCCACAATACAAAGTGCATGTCGGTGCGGATTTTTAAATGCAATTGCTGTTTTTTTTCCTTTACTATAACTCACAGGATTAGCTGTCACTTTCCCTGGAGCTCAAGGAAACTTTGTTTCTTTAGGGGAAATAAACTAAAAAGGAAACATCGTTTCTTTAGGGGAAATAAACCAAAAAGGAAACATCGTTTCTTTAGGGGAAATAAACTAAAAAGGAAACATCGTTTCTTTAGCGGAAATAACCAAAAAGGAAACATTGTTTCTTTAGGGGAAATAACCGAAAAGGAAACCTCGTTTCTTTAGGGGAAATAACCGAAAAGGAAACCGTTTCTTTAGGGGAAATAACCAAAAAGGAAACATCGTTTTTTAGGGGAAATAACCAAAAAGGAAACATCGTTTTTTTTAGGGGAAATAACCAAAAAGGAAACATCGTTTTTTTTAGGGGAAATAACCAAAAAGGAAACACGTTTTAGCGAGTGTAAAAAAAAAAAAAAAAAAAAAGTTTCATTAACCCCCCACAAGTAGTACAGTGTCACTTTAGGTGACACTGTACTGCTAGGGTGACAGTATATTTAAGAAAAAATAAAAAAAAACATTTTTTTTAAATTAAACAAAAAGGAACATCGTTTGTTTATAAACGAATTTGGAAACATTTTTTTTTTGTCACTAAAGATAACTGAATAAATTTAGGCCAAGATTTATGAAGAAAAATTTTTTAAAATTTTTTGTAAGAAAAAACACCTTTTTTTTTTCACTAAAATAACCAAAAAAATTTTGGACTTTAATTTATATAGCAAAAAAAAAAAAAAAATCTCAGTGCTAATTACCACCAAAAAATAAAGCTTTGTCTCAAAAAAATGCTAAAAACATTCATATAGGTACTGTTTGCATAACCGCGCAATTGTCATTCAAAGTGTGATAGCACATAAGCTGAAAATTGGCCTGGACTGGAAAGGGGGGAAAAGTGTCCGGACTGGAAGGGGGGGGAAAAGTGTCCGGACTGGAGGGGGGGGGGAAAGTGTCCGGACTGAAGGGGGGGGGAAAGTGTCCGGACTGGAAGGGGGGGGAAAGTGTCCGGACTGGAAGGGGGGGGGAAAGTGTCCGGACTGGAAGGGGGGGGGAAAGTGTCCGGACTGGAAGGGGGGGGAAAGTGTCCGGACTGGAAGGGGGGGGGAAAGTGTCCGGACTGGAAAGGGGGGGGGAAAGTGTCCGGACTGGAAGGGGGGGGAAAAAGTGTCCGGACTGGAAGGGGGGGGAAAGTGTCCGGACTGGAAGGGGGGGGAAAGTGTCCGGACTGGAAGGGGGGGGAAAGTGTCCGGACTGGAAGGGGGGGGAAAGTGTCCGGACTGGAAAGGGGGGGGAAAGTGTCCGGACTGGAAGGGGGGGGAAAGTGTCCGGACTGGAAAGGGGGGGGAAAGTGTCCGGACTGGAAGGGGGGGGAAAGTGTCCGGACTGGAAAGGGGGGGGAAAGTGTCCGGACTGGAAAGGGGGGGGAAAGTGTCCGGACTGGAAGGGGGGGGAAAGTGTCCGGACTGGAAGGGGGGGGGAAAGTGTCCGGACTGGAAAGGAAGGGGGGGGAAAGTGTCCGGACTGGAAAGGGGGGAAAAGTGTCCGGACTGGAAGGGGGGGGAAAGTGTCCGGACTGGAAGGGGGGGGAAAGTGTCCGGACTGGAAGGGGGGGGAAAAGTGTCCGGACTGGAAGGGGGGGGAAAGTGTCCGGACTGGAAGGGGGGGGGAAAGTGTCCGGACTGGAAGGGGGGGGAAAGTGTCCGGACTGGAAGGGGGGGGAAAGTGTCCGGACTGGAAGGGGGGGGGGGAAAGTGTCCGGACTGGGGGGGGGGGAAAGTGTCCGGACTGGACTGGAAGGGGGGGGAAAGTGTCCGGACTGGAAGGGGGGGGGGGGAAAGTGTCCGGACTGGAAGGGGGGGGAAAGTGTCCGGACTGGAAGGGGGGGGGAAAGTGTCCGGACTGGGAAGGGGGGGGGGAAAGTGTCCGGACTGGAAGGGGGGGGGGAAAGTGTCCGGACTGGAAGGGGGGGGAAAGTGTCCGGACTGGAAGGGGGGGGAAAGTGTCCGGACTGGAAGGGGGGGGAAAGTGTCCGGACTGGAAGGGGGGGGGAAAGTGTCCGGACTGGAAACCTGGGAAGGGGGGGGAGGAAAGTGTCCGGACTGGGAAGGGGGGGGAAGTGTCCGGACTGGGAAGTGGGGGGGGGGGAAAGTGTCTATACGGACTGGGAAGGGGGGGGAAAGTGTCCTGTCCGGACTGGAAAGGGGGGGGAAAGTGTCCGGACTGGAAAGGGGGGGGAAAGTGTCCGGACTGGAAGTGGTTAAAGAAGAAAAAAAAAAAAAAAGCCTTTAGAATCACACGAAGCAATCCGAATACTTTGCTGCTACTCACTTGTTGCTCATCATCAGAACTTCGAGTTCCTTTACATTGTGTACAAGGAACTTCTTGAAGCCGGTGGGGCAGCATGTGTTTGGTTTTCTTTGTTGCTACCGTAACCGATGTTGGGCATCAGGATCTGACCCTTGAACCTTCTGCGGGCTCTGTTGTCAATACCTCTAGGCTTGCGCCAGTTTGGCTGCAGGAGGAAAGCAGAATGTCAGTCGCAGGCGAGGTTTCTTGGGTACCTAGTAAGGACTCCTCCCCGACAGAAGACCTCTGCAGACAATACACAAGATCACCGAGTACCAACCTTAATCTTGACGTAACGGTCTGACTGATGGCGGATGAACTTCTTCGTCCGCTTCTTGACAATCTTGGGTTTTATGAGAGGTCTAAGAGCCGCCATGGTGCCTAGAAAAAAAACAAACAAAAAAAATCAGTTTCATGAATGGAAAATTTGAAACCGGCAGAAAGTCTCACAGGTTTGAAGGGTTGCTCCCGTATTCACAAAGTCTCACCCCATCCACCAAGAAAAGGCAGGTCACGGCAAGAGAACATGGTGGTGAGCAAACCAGATGGAATACCTTGGTGGCTGTGGTTAGAGACCCAGAAACCCATTTAATATCACAGCGCTCCTTCCGCCATTGCTGCCCATACAAAATACCCGATGCTTGTAGATATGGAGAAAGCATGCAATGATCTCCCATGATGCAGTGCTCAGGAATAGCAGCCAAAGTGCTCTGTTAATTATGCCGTGTAAGCTCTGACACCAGCCTAAAAAGGGGATTTAGGGCCTTGTAGACCTCCAATGCTCCCATGCAGTGCAATGCCGGGCCTTGTAGTCCTCCACTGCTCCCATGCAGTGCAATGCCTTGTAATCCTCCACTGCCTTGTAGCCATCCTCCACTGCTCCCATGCAGTGCAAGGCTGAGCCTTGTAGACCTCCACTGCTCCCATGCAGTGCAATGCCGAGCCTTGTAGACCTCCACTGCTCCCATGCAGTGCAATGCCCGAGCCTTGTAGACCTCCACTGCTCCCATGCAGTGCAATGCCGAGCCTTGTAGACCTCCACTGCTCCCATGCAGTGCAATGCCGAGCCTTGTAGACCTCCACTGCTCCCATGCAGTGCAATGCCGAGCCTTGTAGACCTCCACTGCTCCCATGCAGTGCAATGGGCCGAGCCTTGTAGACCTCCACTGCTCACTGTAATTGCACGGTGGGCCTTGTAGTCCTCATCTGCTCACTGAATTGCACGATGGGCCTTGTAGTCCCATCTGCTCACTGTAATGCACGATGGGCCTTGTAGTCCTCATCTGCTCACTGTTGTAATGCACGATGGGCCTTGTAGTCCTCATCTGCTCACTGTAATGCACGATGGGCCTTGTAGTCCTCATCTGCTCACTGTAATGCACGATGGGCCTTGTAGTCCTCATCTGCTCACTGTAATGCACGATGGGCCTTGTAGTCCTCATCTGCTCACTACATTGTAATGATGGTCCTTGTAGTCCTCATCTGCTCACTGTATGGGCCTTGTAATCCTCATCTGCTCACTGTACTGCCCGATGGGCCTTGTAGTCCTCATCTGCTCACTGTATTTTAATGATGGGCCTTGTAGTCCCTCATCTGCTCACTGTATTTTAATGATGGTCCTTGTAGTCCTCATCTGCTCACTCTACTGTAATGATGGGCCTTTGTAGTCCTCATCTGCTCACTCTACTGTAATGATGGGCCTTGTAGTCCTCATCTGCTCACTCTACTGTAATGATGGGCCTTGTAGTCCTCACCTGCTCACTCTACTGTAATGATGGGCCTTGTAGTCCTCATCTGCTCACTCTACTGTAATGATGGGCCTTGTAGTCCTCATCTGCTCACTGTAGTGCAATGATGGGCCATGTAGTTCTCTACTGCCCCCTGTGGTGCAATGCTGGTCCTTGTAGTCCTCCACTGCCCCCAGCCTAAAAGGCTTTTTCTTTGCAGTGGCTGAAAACAAAAGTAGGAGCGGCAGCTCTACCACTGTCCACCTTGAACCTCCATTCACTGCCCTGAATGGGCAAGCCAGTAAACCCACAAAATCCAGAAGTACCCCTTACCAGCAAATTTTTTTTTTACGAACAGGCCACACCACGGAACTGTAGCAGAGTATCTTCCGTCAGCTAGTACCTTAGGCCAGCCACGGAATGGGTAAAAAACCCTGCAATTCTCTCCCTCCAATAATACAACCGGATAAAGCACAAGGCGCCCCACAAGTTGGATTCTGGAGGATAAGAAAACCACGCTGGAAAGATCTCCACGTGACAACAACCCACCCATAGACCAGGACTGAGGCCAGCCACGAAGACACTCGGCTCCATTCACATCTGACGCCCAGCATCCCATACATTGCAACGGTCGCTGTTCACACATATGAGCAACTACTGAGGCAGAATTCGGCATATCTGACAGTCCAAAACAGATGAAAATACAGTAATACCTCGATTTACGAATTTCATTCGTTCTGCAGGACTTTCCGTATAGCGAAAAATCCGCAAACCAAAACGCCGTTTACCATAAGAATTGAAAGCGATATGACTTATTGCGGTATTTTAGTAGTGACAACCATGTGTTAATATTTCAGCTGTAAGTAGGGTTCCCCACTGACAGCCGATTGTAAAAGAATTGCCGGCAGTTAAAAAAAATTTAAAAAATGGTGTGGGGTTCCCCCCTCCCATCCATACCAAGCCCTTTGGGTCTGGTATGAATTTTGAGGGGAACTCCCACACCAAAATGAAAAGAAAAAAAAAAAAAGGCGTGCCCCCCCCCCCAAATCCATACCAGATCCTTATCCGAGCATGCAGCCCAGGTGGTCAGGAAAAGGGGGGGGGTGGGTTGGGAACGAGCGAGCACCCCCCGAACCATATCAGGCCACATGCCCTCAACATGGGGGGTGCTATGGGGCAGAAGGGGCTCCCCCCCCCCCCCAAAGCACCTTGTCCCCATGTTGATGTGGACAAGGGCCTCTTCCCCACAACCCTGGCCGGTGGCTGTGGGGGTCTACGGGTAGGGGGGGGGGGGGCTTATCGGAATCTGGAAGTCCCCTTTAACAAGAGGGCCCCCAGATCCCAGCCATCCCCCCATGTGAATGAGTATGGCTACTCATTCACAAAAAAAAAAAAAAAAAAAAAAAAAAAAAAAAAAAAAAGTGTAGTGGGGGGGGGGGGGGGGGGGGGGGGGGGGGGGGGGGGGGGGGGGGGGGTCTTAAATATGTAAATATGTAAAGACTGTGTCCTGTCTTTTTCACACTACACTGTTTTTTTTTATGTGAATGAGTACCATGTACCCCATACTCATTCACATTGGGGGGGGGGGGGGGGAAGCCGAGATCTGGGGGGACCCTTGTTAAAGCTGGCTTCCAGATTCCGATAAGCCCCCTGCCCACAGACCCCCACAACCACCGGCCAGGGTTGTGGGGGAAGAGGCCCTTGTCCCTATCAACATGGGAAACAAGGTGCTTTGTGGGGGAAAGCCCCCCCTGCCCCAAAGCACCCCCTCCATGTTGAGGGCATGTGGCCTAGTATGGTTCAGGAGGGGTGTGCTCGCTCATCTCCCCCCCCCCTTACCTGCATGCTCGGATAAGGGCCTGGCATGGATTTCTGGGGGGGACCCCCCCCCCCACGCCATTTTTTTTTTTTTTTTTTAATTTTGGCATGGAAGTTCCCCTCAAAATCCATACCGGACCAAAAGGGCTTGGTATGGATAAGAGGAGGATCCCCACACCGGTTTTTATTTATTATGGTGTCAATTTTAAATGTAATTACTGCTTTTTTTTTTTTTTTCACTATATCCAGAAATTCAGCTGTCACTTTCCCCCCAGCTAAAAGAAAAGTATTTTTAGTTTATTTCCGAGTTAATAGAATCAATTTCCTATAACTCCGGCGAAAGCGACAGCTAATCCTGTGAGCTATGAAAAAGGAAAAAAAAAAAAAAAAAAAAAAAAAAAAAAGCAGCAATGGCATTTAAATATCAGCACCGGCATAAACTTCGTATTGCAAAAATAATTAGTAAAAAAAAACTCGTAAACCGAGGCATTATTTTCAATGGATTTTCATTTGTAAACCGAAAAAATTACGTTAACCGAGGCGTTCGTAAACTGAGGTACTACTGTACTCCAATCACTCAATCTCCTCCCCCTACAGCTTTCCATTGGTGGAAAAAAAAAAAAAAAAAAAACCAAAAAACTGAAACTTGATGACAATAAGCCGGGTTGCTGCAGTAGAGGAAGCTTGGCACTGATGAGCCACATGCAGGTAGGTGACATTCTACAGCAGAAATCAGCCTTCTCCAAGTCTTATGATATGAACGAACCGCTTCCCCATAGAAGATATACTGCTACAGGGCGGCAGGGGTGCGCAAAATCACGTATATACACACACAATTTTACATGTCCGGTTAGGGGGCGTGCGCAAGCCACGTGCGCGCCGTCATTCGTGGCTGTCAATCAGGGGTGAATACCCGCCGGCACCCGGTGATTACCGAGGATCTACGACGGGGAGGAAGGGCTGCTTTGTTTACTAACAGTTTCTCCTCCCTGTCGGCTCGGGCACACTGCTCTGGATGGCTGTGCACAGCCACCCAGAGCAGTGCGATTACAGTGACGCACACAGACACCACCCCCCAGTAAAACAGTCCCAGCACACAGTTAACCCTTTGATCCTCCCTCATGTTAATCCCTTTCTGCCCAGTGCCATTAGTACAGCGTCAGTGCATTTTTGTAGCACTGATGACTGTATTGGTGTCACTGTCCGCGATTTATTATTATTATTATACAGGATTTATATAGCGCCAATAGTTCGCTCAGCGCTGTACATTACAATGGGAGACAATACACGAGACAGTACAATACCAATACAATGCGATACACGAGGGGTTCAAGGGCCTGCTCCTTGGAGCTTACAATCTAGGAGGATCAGTGATGTCACTTCCCCCCAGTGTCAGAATGTCCGCCGCAGTCCCGCTATAAGTCGCTGATCAACGCCATTACTAGTTGGAAAAAGGAAAAAAAAAAATTCCAGTATATACCATTTGTAACGCTATAACTGTCACGTAAACCAATTCATTTGCACGTATTGTATTGCGTTGTGTTTCGCACTTGCATGGTTTTTGTTCACTTAAAGGTTTTTTTTTGCATTTCCTGACTTAACAAATTAAATATAAAAAAAAAAAATTCGTTTACACATATTGGGTTTTTTTTTTTTTTTTTTAGCAGTCATGTCGCAGAATACATTTTGGCTTAAATTTATGATGAAATTTGTTTTTTTTTTTAATTTTTTTTTTTTACTGGACGTATTTAATAGCAAAAAGTCAAAAAATATTGTTCTCAAAATTTTTTTTTTTTCATAGCGCAAAAAATAAAAACGCACAGGCGATCAA